CCTCTATAAACGAAGCCGCAGTCTTTGCATCGTCATTCAGATAACCTCGGCCGACGAGTGGACCTTCTAGTAATAGTTCACCCGTACATCCTGGAGCAAGCAGCGTCTCGTGGTCTTCTGGATCAACAATCCAGGTGACTAGTCCCACGCCCTTTCCCATATGTACCGCCTCGTCCGGGCCGGCCATGTTGTAGTTGATCGTACTTGTCGGTGTGCATTCGCATGGCCCGTAGATGTGAATGATGTTGACTCTTCCCCACCATCGCTTGATATCCGTAGGATGCAGGGCCTCTCCTCCGAAAATTACAGTATTGACCGAAGGTAGCCTGTCGGGCGATAACACTTGCGCCATGGACGGCGTAATATCAAGTATATTGGCTTCTAGCGAGGCTATGCTTTGCTCCAAGTTATCCTTGCGATCTTCATCGCTTGGAACACATAGGCAGCCACCTGTCGCCAGGGCAGAGAGCACATTGCTGACGGAGACATCGAAGCTGTATGATGCAAAGTCAAATATCCTCGCATTCTCATTCATCCCCATGCATTCTGCTTGATGGTATAGAGCTGAAGCGGCATTCTTGTTGGTAATCAAGACCCCCTTTGGGATGCCAGTGCTTCCGGATGTGAAAACCGCATAGAGAAGTGATGCCGGGTTGGCAGGGTAGGTTTGCGGGACATCATCGTCAATATTGTCGAGTTCGGTTGAGGTGAAGAATTCCCAATTGATGACGACTGCTCTCTGTGTAAGTCGCGAGCTCACTTCACCATTGGAAGGGGAAGATACGATGACCTTAGCCTGGAGTTGCTGAACAATGACTTGCAGGCGCTGTTCAGGGAGCGAGGGATCCAGCAGAACAAAAGCGCCTCCAGCTTTAATTACGCCGAGTACTGCCACTGTGGTCCACATAGACTTTTCAAAACATAGCGGTACTAAGATATCTGGTCTGACCCCTAAGCGGCGAAGTCTCGACGCCAATTTGGTAGCAAGGCCATCGAGCTCACTGTATGTAAGCTCTCCGTCCCAGGCACAAACAGCAGGAGCATCAGGTTGGGCCCGAACTCTCTCACTTATCAAATCATGGACGCATCGCTCCACGGACTTTGGTGCCATGCTATTCCATCCCCACATTTGCTCTAGATGTTGGGGCGCCGCGGCGCTGCCCGAGGCTGGCTTCATCAACTCGCCATTCGAGTGAGGCTCACGGTCATGGTCAATTTTGACTGTTTGAGTTACTGTAGCCGGGCTACCATTGCTCGCCGTGGTGGATGGGATTCGGGTAGTTTTGGTGCCGTTGCTACCGTTTGCTAAGAAACAAGCCTCTTTACTTGCTGTGCCGTTTTGTAGCGGCATTGTCGCTGGCAGGCTGTTATTGAAACCAGGCTTCGATACTTTGCATGTAAGCTCTTGACCAAGAACTTGGCTCAAGCCATCTCCGGGCATGTCGACAGTGTTGACTGGGATTGGTCCGGGGATGACAAGTATATCTAACCCCCACGTTATATCGTCACCTTGACTTTTTGATATATTTTGCGGTGTGAATATCAGAGGACGAGTATTGCGCGGTTGATTAGCGTTCCGGTTGGCCTTCATGTGTCTACTGTTTGAGCCTTTGGAATTATCAGAGTTGACGCAAGGATGAAGGCTGCAAGTGTCGGTGGCTGAGATCTTGATTCACTTAGGTACTCTTTCGGAGTACTGCGTACCTAACCCCGGATTTACGGAGTAGTTCCCAACTCGATGACATATTGAGCCCAATTCTATATATGGCGACCAGTGCCGGCGGAGCTGCCGAGTTACATTGCGCCCACTAGCTTTGTAACGGTGCTCTGCCGTCTTAGTACGCCTCTTATTCGTACCAGCTCTTATTTGCTGAAATCACACCGAATCAGGCGTGTGTGTGTCACACAAAAAGGCACGGGGCGGCACGTTGATGGGGATATTACGTTACCATCGGCATCCTTTCGTGGAACTAGCAGCCGCAGTCGCTGCGACATGAGAACTACATAGTAGCGAGTACAGTCGATGCGCAAGAAACCTAATCCGGAAGAAATAGCTCGCCACCTGCAACGATTCTTACTCTATCAACTTTGCGTCTCGCATCGGGCATTGGGTTTGGGCTCTCTTGTCTCAATCATATCTCACGTTGTAGTTGGCTGTCCAAAATAGATCAACCCTTGCATATTCCACCGACTTCACACATTGGACATGAGCCAAAGAACGGTGTACAACACAGCTGCTCCCCAACACTGTCCTATCATGGCCAACTACGTGTAATCGTCCGGCAACACGGCGGTTGAGTCCTGGCAAAGCCCAGGCTGAAGCAGCAACATTGTATTGAAAGACTATGCGGAGCTGTAGCTTCTCCCATGTACTCCGTCTGCACAGAGGACAAGCCGTACAGCCCCGAGGGTGCCGGAAAAAGAAAAAAAAGAGAGACGGATGGACGCTTAGATTTCCGCAGCATCTACAACGCGTGCTTCCAAATGGCGGTGTGTCTGATGCATTTTTGTAGCTCGTTGATGCCTACACTCCTGTCAATATGGGCCAAATATGCGGTCCATGATGCATGGGCTATGAGCGGTCTTGATGCCAAGTAACAGTTTTCGGCTTCACCTGCCATTTATTCGTTCTATATGACAGGGATCCTTGATGCGGGCACAACTCCACGTCAGTGTGTCAATGTGACGACAGCATTTTTGTGCCGGGAAATCCATACTGCCTTGATCAACTAGCTCAACATCGGTAAGGGTGTAGGACTATGTAGTATTTGACAGCATATTCAGTATATTCAGTTGCAACCGTGAATCTGAGACAGATGAGGCAGTGAGAACTATATCTTGGTTCAATTAGTAGCCACGCTCCTCGGAAGCCACGTCGGCTGCAGCTTCGCCCTGCTGGGGAACGTGTCTGACATGATCCGTCAGCTTCAATGAACTGCATGTAGTACGGAGTGCTGCATTTGGGTACACTCGCGTTGCAATCTATTATTCGCCTACAGCTCTGACGACAGACGTATCCTACCATTCGTTCATTGGCCTCACACCGGAGACTCTACAAACATTACAGTATTCCGTATCAACACTGGCACACAAGCGGGTCAAGACTTCCCGCTCATGATTTCCCCTTGACGACAAATAACGACATTTCGAGAATTGATAATGGAGGAAATACTGGCCTTGGCACTGATATCAGTGCAGAGTTGGCACCCCCTTCCGAACCGGCAAACCCTCGCAGTCTTGTGTATCTCATCATTAATCGCCACTGTATGGCTCGCGTATCGTCGTTACAGACCGCTCCATCACGTTCGCGGCTCCTGGCTATGCAAGATTTCAGGCCTTTGTCTGGCCTTGACTGATTTTCGTTCTTGTCGAAATGACAAAATCCTCGAGTGGCATCGGAGATATGGTCCTGTTATATGTATCGCGCCAAACGAGGTCTCAGTCGCGACACTGGAAGGTACAAGAGCCATCTACGGCACAGCGCACCGATGGCCAAAGAGCAACTACTTTGACCATTTCATGGGATATAACCGGCGCTCGGCGTTCGCCACGAAGCCTTATAAGGAACACCAGGCAAAGCGTAGGCTGATCTCGGCCTTTTATCAACCGTCTACTATATACAAGCTGCCCCATATCGAACAACACGTGCAGGAACGTGCTCAAACAGTTGTCCGGCAAATATCAACGAATACAGAGGTCGATGTCTACAGTTTGACAGACTGGTACGCGCTTGATATCATTACCCATCTTGTTCTGGGGCCGGACTATTGCACTCGATCCATCGAAACGGCTTGCCCTGAGCGCGATATCCTCGCCGGGCTAAAGCAACAACAGTTTGTCGGCTCCCTGCGCATCCGGTACCCAACGGTCTACGAATACGTTTCTAGATGTTGCAGAGCTCTGAGCTCTAGATTCAGCTATCTATCTGCGGATGACGAGCTCGCAGCCTGGTGTAAGCAACGCACTGCCAACGCGATCAAGGGGCCTAGCATATCTGATTCTCATTCTCTACTCCGACACCTTTTGCAAGTACACGAGAGTGACAAGAAGAAGCCACCGCTTGACCGGCAGTATATTGCAGCCGAGGTGCTTGACAATATCAATGCTGCCGAAGCCACGGTTGCGGTAACGGCAACATACTTGATATGGAGACTAACAGAGGCTCCGGAGTGGCAGAAGAAGATACGAGACGAGTTGGCCGCTTTACTCGTACAGTCAGATGGCTTTCTGCCATTTTCGGAGCTTGATAACCGAGTTCCCTCACTCGAGGCTTGTCTTCGCGAGGTCTACCGTCTACACCCGGCATCCAGTGGACGAGCCGAGCGCATCGTTCCCGAGGGCGGCCACGTCTTGTGTGGAGTCTATCTCCCACAGGGGACGATAGTGACAACCTCTGTTATGGCTCTTCATCGAGATGAGACCATTTTTCCAGATCCCGATCGATTCAATCCTGGGAGGTGGCTTGACGGGGACCCGTTGACGATGAAGAAGCGTGAGGCCTATCTGATTCCGTTTGGGCATGGGGCCAGAATATGTCTAGGCAAATCCCTGGCCACGCTGGAAATCAAAGTTCTTATTGCACAGATATATCTGAGGTATAATACCATGATGGGAAGATCAATGACTCCAGAGTCAATGAGGCAGTGTAGCACCCACGACGCGGTGCCCAAGGGCTTGAAATGTGTAGTCCGGTTCCAGAAGATTGACGAAGAGATTCGCAATCACAATGCCAGCTAGATATATTAGACGTCAGCTATTTTCCAATTCATCCGTCCAGACTCCACACCCTGCTTTGTGTATCCGCGATGCGTCCCTCTGTATGTGATATTGCTGCGTGCACGTGACGTGAATACTGCGGTCAAAAAGCACCTTGACCTTGTCCTACATCAGCATCTGCATCACAGTCCAAGAGGCGTGCGGGGGCAAGCGGACAAACGGATCAAGGGACGACCTACAATATAAGGCTTGTCCGTCAAGCTCCGGCTCCAACAAGTCGGCAGATGGTCGAGTTTACGCCTCTTTTGCCTTCTTCCCTCACACAGCACAGCTCCGGCAACAACACCTACGAGATGAACTACCAACGAATGGCCATTGAGAAAGAGGCCCCAGAGGAGGTGGGAATTGCGATCAAGTACAATCTTTCCGAGAGTGCCATATCAGACCAGACGCTGAAATCATTGAACATCACCATTCCTGCGGACACCGTACTCACTTACACGGAGCACAAGGGCAGTTCCAAGATTCGCTCTTTCGTCGCCGAGGCTTCTCACGGGGCCATTACCCCAGAAGACGTTCTCGTAACAGCAGGCGCCTCGACGTCCCTCTTCATCGTCAACAGCGCCCTGCTGAGCTCGGGGGACCATGTGATCATCACGCGTCCCAACTATGCGACCAACCTGGAAGTTCCGCGCGCCATCGGCTGCGCCATTACGTACGTCGACCTCGAGTTTGAATCCCAGTACCGCCTGGACATTGGTCGCGTGAGCGCCGCCATTCGCCCCGGCGTCACCAAGCTCATCAGCATCTGCTCTCCCAACAATCCTACAGGAACCACGCACACCGGCCCCGAGCTCCGGGCTCTCGCGGACCTCGCCGAGGAAAAGGGGTGCTACCTCCTTGTTGACGAGACGTACTCGGAGCTCAGGTACGTCTCTGGCCATTCAGCAGGGGAGGATGCCGTTCCCGCAGCGGCTTCACTTGGCAGTCACGTCGTTGGCGTTTCCTCCATGTCCAAAGCCTATGGCGTTCCTGGCATCCGCGTGGGGTGGCTCACCACTACCAACGCCCGCCTGCAGGAGACGTTCCTCGCGGCCAAGGAGCAGATAAGTATCTGTGGCAGTAGCCTTGACGAAATCTGCGCGGAGCAAATCTTGGCCCGGCGGAGCGAGCTGATTCCCGCGACCATTGCCGACATGCAGAGGCGGAGGGATCGCGTGGCGAGCTGGATTGCCGAGGAGAGCGAGTGGCTGGATTGGGTGAGGCCAGAAGCAGGAGTCATGTGCTTTGTCAAGATAAAAAAGGAGCCGGTTGGGGGGCTGGGCGCATTCTATTCGACGTTGCTGGAGAAGCATGGCGTGTATATTGGCCGAGGGGGCTGGTTTGAGAGAGATGATAGCTTTTTCCGGCTGGGATACGGATGGCCAACGTGGCGGGAACTGGAAGATGGACTTGTCTGCATCTCCAAGGTTCTTCGGGGATGAAAGCCACACGGGTTCCAGGAAATCGAGGCTGGACGTGGTCGACTGGCGTTTAGTCAACGGGTATGCATTCGTCACATGTTGGACTTGGCTCTGTTTGTGTCTGGGATAGCTGGCATATTGGTAAATCAACCCCTGAATTGACCCAAGTCTGGAATCTCTAGTCGACATGGTGATGGACACCAGTGTTACGTATGGCATATCACTTGCAGCAGAATTATTATCCAAACATTCCGAGACCTGCATTGACTAGCCAGATTCGGTACAACCGATATATCAACTATACAATATGACGGATGCGTCATCGACAACCTGTCAATGGGTGAGACGGCATTCAGGCGACTTGTCATGGCCTGTTTTGGCAGGCTGGCTCATTTGTCCGCAGCTAGAGGCTGGCGAGTTGGCATCTAGAACAAACGCCGCGTCTGATGTGAGAAGATATGCTTGCTTACCGGATCGTACTGGCACATTGTGTCGGGTTACTTCTGCAGATGCTCTATTTTATTTATACATGCTTCAAAACCACTTGGCCACTCAGTATCGTACAACATGTCGTATAGCCTAATGCATGACGGAGTACTTTCTGCTTCCCTACGCCTCAACTAAAGTGAAAAGTCAGCAAGCAAGAGATGCCACATCCATGGATCAGGCGGAAGACATGAGTGCTGGGCAAATACTATAAGTCCGCTGTCTAATACAGGTGCCTAGGTTATTTCCAGCAACGGATGGACCAAAAACGCATTATCTAGTCACTATATTGATGGTATGTTGGGAATAATGTCGTGTGTCGTCAATTCGCTGGCTTTATCCCTTTCCTCTCGGAAGAACTTGTCACATTTCAGTTCATTTGTTCCATCACCTACGAGTATATTCTCCGGCAGAAGAATTGCCAACTTTCAACTCTCTGGGGCCATTTTCACCGGATGTTCAAAGAGCACTAGCCAATGCCGTGATTCTCTTAATTGGCACATTGATGGGCAAATTGTGATGCTCTGCAGCGGATGCCAAACAACCAAGCTCATTCACACAGCCTCACCGTCTCCGTATAACAGCCAACCAGCGCGAAACCATTCATCCAGTGACAAGGGCTAATCACGATCCTCGGGATGAAAAACCAATGCCCTCATCTCAATGCTCTCCCTCGTCGCCTCCTGCTCCGTCGCTGGGTCAACAAACGCCGAATGAGGCACCCGCCTCGCCCTCCCATCCACCTTGGAGTCGTAAAACTTGATCAAAGTAACCATATTCGGAGTCTGCTTGTAGCGAAAGTACCACTTGATGTTTGGGTCCGCCTTGACGTTCCACGCCTCGCCCTCTTGGTCCGGGGCGATAAACTTGACGGGGAACAGGCCGCTTTCGGGCGCAGAGTGCGCATCGGCAAGTGCCAACGGGTCCTTGAGAATGGTACGGATCGGGCGCCAGACGCTGATCATCTGGTAGCGGCCCCTGAGGAGTTCGGGTGCTTCGTCGGGAAGATAGTGCCAGGCCTTGCACTTGGCGCCATGGTAGGACGAGTCTATGTGAACACGTTTGAGCGGACCACGGGGCTGACCCTTGGTGGTCCAATCTTTTGCGGCTCGTCGGATGGTGTGGTCATATATGAAGACTCGAGAGGCCCCCGTGCTGTGCTGGTCAATCGTTTGATCTGTTCGTTTTCGAGTCAGGAAGTTCGCCTTGCTTACACATCTTTCAGCAGCTGCTCTGTCTCTGGGTAATAGTCTGCTCGTATCTTGTCATCGTCGGTGAATTCCTTCACTTGGCTGTTGTGGTAGTAGAACTGGAATCCGTGGCTGTCTAGAGTGTATTCATGCTCGTGGCCACTGATATCATGAATGGTGGCAGGGAGAGTGACGGTAGGTCGTTCGTAGCTCTCTGGCTTTCCGATATATATTGGGGCTTGGGGGGATCCATCTTCGTTCTCTTTAACAAAGGTGAGCGTAGTCTGAACATGGTGAGGGCCTTCTTTCGCGGAGGCTTCCATCTTTTCTGCTAGAAGAGGGCCATTGGAGTCGAGGAGATGGACGGTCGCTGGAGCCATATTCCAGAGTTGGTTAACTTGGATCGTAAGATGCGTTTTGTTTGTACTTCTTGGGCTGAAGACGGAAGATCTCAGAAGACTGGGGATTAAATAATTGACCGCATGAAGCGACGCAAGGGACAGAGTGCAAATTGGTTGCTGACTTTGCTCGTTGGAGCAACGTCATGTTTTCTTGCTAGATAATCTCTCTTGTTGGGTGGATGAAGCAACAGCCCAGGCATTTGTCGTTTCTATTGTGAAATTTGCATCCGCCAGAAGCAAATACACGGACTTTCTACCGCGGAGAAATGCGACGTCGTACATTCCATTGTACCCGCGAAGTGACTACGAGGTAGGGGCAAGTTCAATGTACAAGACAGCGGCGACATTACAATACCAGCTAAAATCGTTACAGGGGTAACCAGTGGCTGCGCTTGATAGTGCCGAATCTCATTGTCAAGGATTTAGCTTAGTTCGTAAGCCCACCGCTCTCTTTTCTCTTGTCCAGCTGCATAATTGTATTCTGATAAAACTCGAGTCACGAGTATCTGTAAGTCATTTGCAGATTATTAATAATTCATGGTAAAGAGACTATTGTCAATAGGAATCGTAATCGGGTCCAGTGTGAATTGACCTCCACCAGTATTTTCAAACACCTTGTCACCGCAATGAGGCGTATACCGGGCTCGTTTCTGTGCATCTAGACTGTCACAAGCTAAATAGAGCCCAAATATCAAACGAATAACCTACAGTTGGATATATTTGGTCAACCGCAGCTATTGCTAGATGTTTTCTTCTCCATGGCTCCATGATATCCCAATACCCGCCGTGACAACCATGAAAGGCCAGTCACCTCTTAAGAGTGACGCACCAAGGCGCCAAGTTGGCCAACAAATATTGACCTGATCAAATATAAAAGAAGTCATTCTTTCCATGGCGAGCTCCCAAACATAAGCAAAGGGCCTATTCGCACCAGATTCTGTTCAACACCGCATATCGAGGTGTATTAGTCGATTAAAAAAGCATCATGATACATGCTTTTTTTTACTCTGATTTTAGAACTGGTATTTGTAAAGAAATCTCTTGATTTATTTCATTTCACAAGACATGATAGGAGCTCATGTGAATGCCTTCCTTAAGACTCGGGATTTGTGATGACGAAACATTCCGATACGCCCAAACACAAAGCCAAGCTCATATGGAACTGCTCCTACAAGTATTTGAGTTTTGTGAAATTGAACAGAGCATACCATTCATGGCTATATTGTGAAACCATGCTCATTCCTCAGCGAGGGCTTCACGACGGGTCTTGCTGCTCGGGTTGAAATAAGGTCTCTCGCCGATTCCCACCGCGCGATGGCCAGTGCGGGCACCCAATCCAGCATAATCAAAAATGGCGGTATGGTAGACGGAGCGGTTGTCCCAGATGGCTAAGTACTCGTCAGATATACCAGATCAATACATGCTTTAGAGTGCGAGTACTCACCAATGTCGTAGGGGTTCTCCCACCGATGCCTCAGTTGGCAGTCGTGTTCTTCGACAATCAACTGCAGGAACCAGTCCAGCAGTCTTTTGCTTTCATCAGACGTCACATCATTGATGCGCTCGACGTGGTTGCCAACGGCAAAGAGGCTCTTCCATCCAGTGACGGGGTTGGTGCGAACGACCGGGTGAACGGCGCGCAGAGAAGTGCCAACGTTGTTGGGGGACCCGCGAGGCTTGGAATATAGCTCGAATCCCTTGGCAGCAGCTACATTTGGTAATCTAGATTGGGAGAAGTCGGCAGTGAGTCCTTCGAGGAATTTGCGGTAGGCAGGAGACACTTTGTCGTAGATTTCGCAAGACGAGGCCCACATTGTATCTATGCAGGGAACAGTCAGAACGATGTAGAATGGAGCGTGGAAAGGGGCTAAACTGCATGGCATACCTCCGCCGGTCTTTGGGAGTTTGATGAGCTTCAAGATGGAGTAATCGGGTGGATTCGGCTCATACCCAGCATCCGTATGCCAGCTGTTTCTTATATCGGCCGGTCTATTTTTCCAAAGGTCCTCTGCAGGGTTAGTCGCCTGGTCGGTGGTGATGATGTTGAGATGGGGGTCCCGATCTGCGTTGAAGTTGGCCAGTGGATGAATGTGCAGTGTTGAGGATTCCGGTTTGCCTGTTAGACGGCCCAGGCGAAGAGCCAACTCCTTTTGAAGCTCGTCTGTAAGGTCGGTCTGGGCTCGAAAGAAAACCACACCCCGACGAGAGACTATACACACTTGTTAGCCATGCTCCATGAAACAATTCTGCAGAGCATACGCACTGGTAACAGCCAAGTCTCGCAAGATTTCATCGCTATTTGCATCCTTCATCCATTCCACCACGTTGGCGTCGGGGAACTCGGTTCCGATTACGGGGGTGACATCGTACGACTTGTAGCCATCCAGAAGACCCCTTAGTTTCAAAGGTTCCCTGACGGAGGAGCTGTCACCGGCACTGCCTCGCAGGTCGTGATCATGAGAGAGGGTCATTGTATAGCAATGGGGCAAGAGTAAGATTCCAGGGTAGAAATAGATGAAGATGCGAATCTCGCCGGTTCCGAGGCCCTATTTATGTTTAGGACTTGGATTAAAAATGGGAAATGAGGCGCGGGGGTAGTCACATTCAGAAGGAGAATCGGTTGCAAGTCCCATGCTTCATTGTCCGCTGTACTCCTCTTTCTACAAAGCGCCCTTTTGGTTCGCCGGTTTCCAGCTAGAATATGAAACCGGGGCGCAACGTCGCCAGTGCGAATACTTGACTATTCGGTAAGGCAACAGCCATACAAATTACGCGGTGATGTCTACATTCTTCATAGGATACTGTCTAGGACTGGACTGAAGCATGTTGGGCACAACATGTTATCGGCAATTCGAGGAAACTAGTTAGCCTCATTTATAACTCATTCTAAAATAATAGGAGTAAACTCTCATTGGAATAGACTGGAATAGTTTTATCACGTCGGTCACGAAAGAAATTTGGCCCCTACCCTAGGCCAGTAGAATCGAGAATACTGTACTGATGCTCTGGACTCGCACTTCGCAGGTAATATGAACAAATTGTCGTTTTGGAGTCTAAATCTTCCTACGGTTGACATTTCGATGTTGGCTGAGTCTGTGCAAGAGTTATACATGAGATATGAGAATAGCGGTACTGCATCGTGTCCTTAATGAGGCGAAACAGAGTTTCATCCGCCTATGTGGTTGTTGTCAAAATTTTGTACTTTACAATTAGAAGATGAAATCCAAAAGGCACATTCAGATAGACGCACTTAAAGATGGGGTAAATTCTTTGACCAAAAACCGGGGAATTGTTCAGTTCACCCAAACTTCCGAATCATGAATGTACTGTGGCGTTGCAGCCACTGGAACAGAAAGGGGATAAAGGGGATTAGACGAATTAGCCCAGTAGAAAGTCGGTAAACCGGGTCATGACGATTTCTTGTTCTTCCAGTCTTTTCTATTCGTCTGTTACTCTTCTATGCTGAACAAGTAGGATGTAAGGTCACAAAGGTGAAGCGGAAAACTCCTCCAAGTTCAACCCCCTATGTTCCCATTCGCAACCAAAAATGAGCAATTGGCAGTCCAGTAGCTCATTGTTTTAAGGCATGTACTACCTGGTCGAGCTTTTTTGTGAATATCTTCATCTCGTCCAAGGTGTTGTAATGGGTCAAGCTTGTGCGAATGATACCGTCATCTGCCAGTCCCAGAATATCATGGACTGTACGGGGAGACCAACAGTCACCAGTAAGTAGCCGACAGTTTGATTTTTCGTGAATCTCGTTCGCGACCTTGTCAGAAGTGAGCCCGTTCACAGAAAAGCTGATCAAGGCAACACGGGTTTTTGGATCCGATGTTCGCGACCCATATACAGTGTAAAGATCCGGGTTGGCCGTCAAATAATCCAGAAGATATCTTGTAATCACTTCCTCGTAGGCAATTATAGAATCCCAGCCAACCTCATCGACGAGGTAATTGATAATGGGGACCAGAGCATGTTCGAGCTCAATGCAGCTGTTGCCAAGGCCCAGCTTCACGGCTAAAGAGGACGAATCCAGGAAGTAGTGGTTGAGACTCGTCAAGTAGCGCTGCTGAACATTCCGTCTGGCATAGATCTGAGCAATATGGGGGCCAAAAACCTTATACCAGCTAAAAACGTAGAAGTCGACATTCAATTTCCTAACGTCGATAGGGCGATGGGGAGCCCAGGCTACTCCGTCCACACATATTAAAGCCCCAGGGACGGTATGAACGAGCTCCGCAATCTCTTGAATGGGTTCAATAGTTCCGGTAATATTTGACACATGCCCACAACATACAAGTCGCGTCTTTGATGACAAAAGTGGTCGGAGCGATTCTAGCGTAAGCTTCGGGTCTCTGTTGTTGCCCATTCCCCCAGCCGGCACCCACCACTTGATGGATATACCCAAGCTCTTTGCTAAGGCAACCCACGCGGTTATGCCGGCTTCGTGGCAAAGAACGGATACAATAATTTCAGAATCCGCATTGAGATTTGGACGAAGAGAATTGGTCAGAGTTCGTAGTAGCCCGGTAGTAGAAGGCCCAAAGGCTTTGTTTTCAAGTCTCATTAGCAAAACTCACCAATAGCACATGAATCATATGACGTCAAATGAATATCGCAAGTATACCTTTAGCAAACTATACGAAATAGTGTCCGCGACCGGGTATATCTTACCAATTTCGTCAGGGTCGGCATTCATGAATGACGCAAGCTTCACGTATTGGGCCGCACGCTCTCGAACGTCAATGCGGCTTTTTGAGTCCAGTCCTCGCAAATTCATGTGGGGAGAGGACATTGTCCGGGTGATACTGCGTAGGCCATATTCTTAATTGACAGTCTTCTACCGCAGCATTATATAGCGCCATGTATCGAACTCACCTCTCCATGACACCTTTATGAACCAAAGCACCAGAGCCATTGTTCAGGCAGATCAACCCTTTATTGAGACCCGGAAATTGTTTTCGAACAGTCTCAATGACAAGATTGGGGAGGCGCGTGCGAATATTCATTGGTGGAGTACGTTGACAAGGAACAAAGTTGACAGGACAAGTAGTGCGGCAAGAGGCTAGAAGTTGGATTTGTGGTGGGTTTGTGTTTTGGCCTTTGTGTTAAAAAGCTCAATAAGAAGTAAATGAGGTTTTCAAGTAAGACGCAGGTGGTTTAATGTTCAAAATCCAGCCAAGCCGCTCGTTTTACCGTCCACCCCTTGAAGGCAACACCCCTGCCCAAAGGCATCGAACATGACGGCGAGATGCATCCTACAGAGTATAAGAAGACCGATTCTTATCTGGTGAACTTTTGTCATAAAGTGATTTAATCGCGTCTTTGTCACTTCGTTCCCTCGGCTGACTTAGAAATGGCAGAATGGCAAGAACGGTCATGATGCCACCGGTGGCAAGCAGTTACGCAAACGCCAGCCGGTGACGAAGTAACATCGTCACCAAGCTATCCGCGCCATGTGCCGCCGCTCATCGCCGCTTCAGCAGATCTGGGCCGTTGTAACCCCAGGCTTGCCGGCTAAGCGGGATTTTGATTCCGGTGACATTGGATGGACGGGAGACGTGTGACGTGGGACGGAAGCTGGGGCTCCACAAGTTCCTGAAATTGCGAGATATTCATGCCTAAGTGGGTCCGAGCCGTGGTAGCGATCGTGAGTGAGCCGTGATGAACCAAGACCGACATTTGGATCCGACGTTGTGGCTGGCTGAGACATGCCGCAGGCAGCCCATGATATCTTCAAGGGCATTCAAGGCCTGTACCCCAGACTTGGCACACTGTTCCCCGTACCGTTCCCCGAGGGTTTTTAGCACTAGGAAATCCGAGTCATGTTCATCGTTGAGTCTGACCGCGTCCAGACCGGACTCCTCTTTCCTCAAGTCCAGCTTCCTCCTGGATGCGCATGGAGCCGAAGTCGACGCCGGAGCTACGAGACTTGCTTGCCCAGCTCGCTCAGTTCTTGAGGGCGAATGAGTCGAGAATCTCAGCGGAGCAGGTGTCGAAATGTTTGCAGCATCTGTCGGCCATGGAGCTGTCGGCCCTGAATCGTCTGTTTTGTTTATTGTATCAAACAAAGGTTGGTGGGCTCATGCAGAAATCTGAAATTGTGGCCTCGGACCCTGTGATCTGATCTTGGCAAGAAGAGGGGCGCACCTTCCCGCCCAGATGCGAGTGGGACCTCGAGCCCACCATCAGTCGCACCTCTCAACAACACCAACACCAACAACAATAACAATCTTGACGCCAACAGACCCAGGCCATCTAGGCTAGGAGACGCACCCTCGGCGGCTGGGAACGTTCGTCAGGGTGACAGCTGTGCAAGGTCACCGTCGTCCACAGACCGACCTCGCAACACCCGTCATTCTGACGGACACCACCAGCCTTCTCCTAGCCCAGACGCCTCACACCAAGCCGAAACGACGACTCTCCATGCCGGGGCCGATGGCGACACCTTTGTCAGAACGGACTTGGCCACCTGCAACGAAATAAAATTTGCAGCGAGCACCAAACAACTATTGGAGAACTGTAGAACGGATCGCGGGGAGTTCCTGCGGGCAATCAGGGAAGCTAAAGCAGCTCTCCCAACCGGGCATGGATGGGAAGCCGCCATAGCCACCAAGAAAGAAAATGCTGACATTCGCGATATGATGAGGATTTACCATAGGTTCGAATGCCACAATATTTACTCGCATGTTGTCGAGGCAGGATTCCATACCGGCACTCATTGGATCCGGGAAATGCGAACTGTGCTGGTTAATAAGCTTTGCAAGGACTTCCCAGAGCGCTTCCAGAACCAAAAGACGGCCAACAAATGTTTGAACTGGGTTGACCAGGGCTGTAGGTATCGTGAATGGACTGACCTGCTCAGCGAAACATCAGATCTTGGATATCTTCTCGCGCTGCCTGCAGATGTGCCGCACTCAGCGTATGCCTTCTTCCAACCACACCCACCTCAACGGGCAACCCTGGCTCACAAACATCTTACAGGTACACATCCAGATGTACCAAGGAGCAAATGACTGCGGCTGCTCTCAGGTTCAAAAGTTTGGGCATCGATAAGCTGGTGGAGGATTTGGAACTTTCGGAACTGGGCAACCATATCTCAGCAAAATTGAGGGAAATGACGGGCAAGAAGCGCAAGGATGCTGACGGTAGGCTCTCTTCGAGTGCCCTCGTTTCACATCAATCGCAATGCTTATATATGCGAATCAGAAGAGCTGAACCAGAACTCCCGCAAATCACCGCGATTAACGCCATCCTCGGGCGCGGGCGAATTGGGCCTCGTTCAACCGGCTGGCCAGTTGACTACGCCGCCCGAATCAATGCCAGCTGGTACTGAGACTATGCCACGGGTGATTTTTCAGTTCACTAACACATCAATAGGTATTGGCGACCTCTTTGGTCACCCTACTCACTGTGTGATGCCACCTTTGGCGCAAGAATATTCCGGTCATCAGGAACGGGACCGAGAACATCATAACACGATCGGAACAATGGTGGATAGCTTTTTAGCCCCATATGACCCTTTCAACAACTGTACGGTCACACTTGACCCATCAACAGAAAGTAGCGCACGCTAACTCTGATTAGTTGACATGAGCTTACAGGCGTATTCAGAGGTTTTCTTGAGTCAGTTTTCCGTTGTTTCGTCGTCAACCGATAAGTAGCATTAGCATCCAAACTATACGGAAAAGTTTTATTGCAAATTCCAATGAGTACTCACATCCATTAAATACCGGGTTTGTCCCCTCACCGTAACGGAAATTTACTTCATGGACCATGCGCTTTTGAGAGAAAAATGTCCCGTTGTCACCCTGGTCCCACCATGCCATGTGCCATCACGATCTCAATTCTGGAGCCATACCAGTGTCAAACCTGGAATCTCGGCAGCATGTGCGTCTGATTTCACATGTCTATTCAATACAATTACAGGACGTCATTATCAGTGGCAAATGTCCCTTTGTTGCAGGACTTCACGTGACGATGCGTAAGTATTCAAGGGCATGAGACGCTATTCGAATGGAGACCCAAAATTAAAGTGCTGATTATTATTGATATTAAAGCCAAGAAACACTAACAAGCAAAGATAACTGACAAGTCTTCGCCAACAGTCACTGGTCAGTGGAGCCAAGATACTCGTTGCGTCCCGTCAGCATGGCACCATGCTGCTTGGCATCCAGGCTCGCTTCTCTGAACAGGGCGTATTTTTGATTATGCCACTCCACACTGTTCATCTGCTTTCCGTCATGGGTAGTAAACTTGGCATCGAATTCTGGCCGCAAGAAATAAATCACGGAGAACTTGTCCTGACCTGTTGAGTCGGGTGGAGGTACCACGCGGTGAAGAGATGAGGCCAATACACCATTGGAAAGAAAACGCAACGAGTCTCCGACATTCACAACGGCGTGTCCAGCTCGGGGTGGAATAAATGACCACTCCCTATCTCCGGGCAGCATAGCCTGCAAGCCATCCGACTGGGAGAAAACAACCGTTAAAGTTCCCATATCAGTATGTGCCATGTTCCCGATCTGGTCATGACTGCTTCCCCAAGCTAGGTACTGCAACATAGCCATGTTTGCAGACGATGGCTTATCCTTCCGGTGACAGTCCTTCAAGTCATACGGAAGCTCCAGCGCTTTAGACAGATTTGACAGGATGCAATCAGTATACTGATGAACCTCGCTCATGAATGTCTCGAATAGGGACAAGTTTTCATCAATGGCTGGAGGAGCATTGATGGTATCCTCCCCAAAGATTCCATTGTTGTGGATCTACAGGTATCGAATCAGTTCGATTCGGACACGTTTAGAACATGATGAAGCAATCACCTCATTGCCATCCTGCCGTCAATGTGGGAAGAGTGGGAACATACCGAGAAGCTCTCATAACCGTCTTTCTTCCCGGCAAATGGCCCAACGGAGCACCCGACTGTTTTGTAGCTAAAGCGTAAAACTTTAGCTTCATAGTTCTGGCAAACGTGTCATCCGAGTCAGGCAGAGCAAAACAAAACATACCCGAAAAGTCTTGATGGTAGATATTTCTCGGTGCTATATTGTTCTTTCTCTTCTAGTGGCAGCTTGAAAACTGACTTGCCAATAGCAGCGAGGTCGTCGACAAGCTTCAAGATGTCACATGTGGACTCGTGACGGAAATCAAGGTAAAAGAATCCATTTTCTTTGCAAGCGGAAACAAGGTCGTTCACAACATCGTCGTTCCCGGCAAGAAGTCCCGCCAGCGAGATCGATTTCAGATCTGCCTGTTTGGACGATTCGACGGATCCCATGTTTAAGAAGTGGGTTGTCAAAGTATAGTTTGGCGTTTAGTTTGTATCCTTGAAGAAAATATGTCCGTTCAAATGCCTTGAATTATTTAGTCCTCGTGCTTCTCTTAATAACGGGCCAGGTATGGGAGGCGACACTAGGCCACATATAACCTTTCGACGTCCTCCAAGAGCCAAGCAGACATCGTCCTCAGTGACGACAACCAGCAAACTTGCAGCCCCCTCCCGCCGTCCATTACTTTCCGTGTACTGCTCGCTTATTCCGGCTTACATGTGCCCGTAGGAAGGACTGTGACATCTGTTTGTCCTGGCCAGGCTTACATGTGCCCGTAGGAAGGACTGTGACATCTGTTTGTCCTGGCCATTGAGAAAGCTGACATGGGGTTGGTCATAAGAGTGTGGATAGGCGTGAGGGGGTACTGCAAAGCCGTCTGCTACTAGAAAGTGACAGAAATTCTCCCGGCTGGGGCAAGACATGGCTCCCTAGAGTGTGTTCAACCAGATACCCGGCGCTATTTTGGAAAAATTATGCCTTGGTCGTCCGTGACTTTCCGTGTCAGAGGTACAAGGCGAGCTACACCATCCTTTGCTTCAATTGACTTGGCTTTCTTCAGTAAGTTCCTTCTGTGATAGGAATGAGTGGATCTTGAAATAAAAGTCGTCGACTGATCCAAGCTGTCATCACTGCTCAGAAATACTTGAGCTTAGTACCCAAGCCGCAACAGATGAAAAGCAAAGGAGCGGAAGGCCGGTGAATCGGGGCATGCGGCAAGGCGAGTCACAGCGAGCACACTCGGCAAATGAATATAGAAGTACCCCACGAAGCATCTTGAATGGTATGAAAGACTCATTCAGATCCAGGATTTTTCTTGTTTCTTTACAACCTCTTTGCAAGATGGGGGCCCAGGGATGGCAGAGGCGGCATGCCCGTACATGATACCATGTACAGCCCAATCGACACATAAATGAGGGCGTGTGCGCATCCTTTTTACTCAGTTGCTAACGTGTAACCAGATTCGTTAAGCATTGACTCTACTGGTCTAAACACTCCCGCCAACCATCACAATCTCCGACGACGCACACAATGCACGAGAAAGGGAAAATGCTCGACACAAATCACTACAACGCCTTAAGCTTGGCTCAGCCCACGAATTTCAAGTCCATGTTGCACTCGGGCAAGCTACTCTGGGGCACGGGATGCCGAATCCCCCACGAGGAAGCGGCACGGATAGTTGCCTCGACGCCGTATCATTTCTGCTTCATAGACGCGGTACGCTCACCACGGCCACGCGCGCCGTCCTAGTTGCCATCTGACGAATGTGTACACGCACAGGAACACACGCCCCTGAACGCAACGCTGCTGGTCAGCCTTGTTCGCACGATTCAATATCACTCCAACGGCTCCATGGTGCCATTTGTCCGGATCCCAGGCTGCTCGCCCGAGCTGGTCAATTATGCGCTGAATGCCGGCGCGGGGGGCGTCATGATGCCTCACATCCAGAACGCCAAACAGGCAGAGGACCTGGTCCGGTTGGCTCGGTTTCCGCCCATGGGAGACCGGAGCTTCCCTCCCGCGGCGCTGATCAACAAGAAGCAGCAGAGGACGCCGGAGTCCCAGACGGTCTACGACGTGTGGAACAGCCATGCCGCTGTCATCTGTCAGATAGAAGATCTGCAGGGCCTGGACAATATTGAAGAGATTTGCGGGGTTCCAGGAGGTGCGTTTCAGTCGTACATGCCGTTGTTCGTGTCTGCCATGTATGTATGTGCTGATACTGCTTGCCTGTAGTTGACGGCCTTTTCATTGGGACCGGCGATTTGCGCATGTGTATGGGATTGGCTGTGGGCAGTCTCGATGGTGATGAACCCGTGTTTGTCTCTGCGCTCCGGAGGATCCGGGACGCCGCAAAGGCCAATGATCTTCCCATCATGGGTTTTGGCATCTCCCCTTGTACCCTAGAGCGTAGGATTGACATGGGCTGGAATGCGTTCATCATACATGGCGACATTGATGCCATATGCACCTCGGCCATCCGGTCATTGGATACTTACAGTGATGCTGCCGATCGCCATTTATCCAAGATTAGTGACAAGAATGGCAATGGCTCTGCCAATGGCTTAGATGACGATTTGGGAAGCAGAACAAGAGGGGAGGGGGCCGTTGGTTCTCTGAACGGTTCCCAGTCCGTGGGACCTCAATAGGACGGATAGACGTCAACGGCACGTACTGGGTGCCTATTCTAAAATAGTAATTGTTGAATATTCTCGCCCATCTGACAACTGTGCTAGTTTGAAGGAGCAATAGCGGGCTGTATGGTTTGACCAGGTTGGGCACAGTCTCTCATACGGATAAGGGACGGGGCCTTTCTAATCTTCCGGATAACTATTAACCCCTTTCGCACCCGATCCTGGCTGCAACACAACGAAGGTGCATCGCCACGGCACACAGGGTGGTCAGGGAGATGAGTCGAGGATACAAGCTAAAAACCCAAGGCAGCGATAACCTAGATGCCTCAGTCATGTAGGTCAGGTTACACACATACGGGACATCATGTATATATACGGGTAACAGGTTAGGACCATAAAAAACTCAAGGAAAAGTAGTAGCTGGAATTGAAGCTACTCACAAGCGCTCACTGAGACCTTGTGACACAGTCTCACCCCAAGCACCCGTATCAAACGATTATAATCGCTAGCAGATTGGCCTCGGCAATACACCATGCGCCCCAGTAAGAGTTCAGATTGGTCATTGAGAGCAAAAGTCCTCCTGCAAAGCCATGTCCTAGCCGTACAAAACTCATCACGTGTCCGGCCCGGGCCAGATATCAGAAACGGTTCTTTCAAAGCTAAACATATTACACGGTTGGGGGCCTGGGACGCAGCAACGGCCCAACATCGTTACACGAAATGATAAACTGGAAGCCTCCGGCATCGCTGATACTTTCATGTATATAATCTAGGCCTTGGGCCCTCACACTTCTGAGACACCAAGGACTTTCGACACCCTCCGATGTTATCTTTGAATTGAGTCATTACCACTCCAAGCCCTCGCCACAGAACGCTCCCTTCTTCCACAGACCGCGCTCCCCGACGACCCCATCTTCTCTAGACTAGTCCAACTCGCCACCCGCAGAGATGGTCAAGTTATTGTCGACGACCGCAGCCGCGGCACACAGTTTGGCTACGGCCACATTCTCCACGGCACCGTGGACCTCGTGCAGAAGCTTCGGAGTCTTCTCAACAGGGATATCCTAGATAACCGCGGCGGGTTTTACATTGCCGTCTTGGCCCCTAACAGCTACGAATTCATTATTGCGGTCCTCGCTGTCCTAGCTCTCGGCGGTGTTGTCGTCCCCATGCGTGAGTCCGTCCCCCCCTCGCGGCAAAACGTCTCGCTGGATCGAATTGACAATCCTTGCTGCAAACAACAGCCACGGGCGCACTTGCATCCGAAGCAGCGCATATCCTGCGGCAGTGTGGTGCGTGCTGTATTCTCGTTGGGCCAGAGCAAGTCGACCTGTTGGCCCGGATCGAAGACGAGGTCAAAATACCCTCTCTCTTGGTCAGGAGCCACGTGGGCGACTCTAAATCTAAGAACCCGGTGCCGGCTACGTCCTTTGCGCTGGACCCGGCGGCCGCCGTGTCTGAAGAGTGTCCTAGCATATTGTTCTTTACTTCGGGGACGAGCGGCCCTCCAAAGGGTGTTTTGCACGCCCGTCGGACGGTCAGCAAGTATGCTCGGCTGGAGGAAGTCGGGACGAATGAGGAGATTTGCATCATACCGAGGGGCGCGTTCTGGTCGCTGTATTTCACGAAACTGTTCCAAATGCTGCTTATAGGGGTGCGCGTCGAGATTCACAATTTCGGACGCAACTACGACCTTATATGGGAGAAGCTCCGTGATGGAACCGCCACGCGGATTGCCTTGTCCCCTACTTTCTGGTACGGCATGATGGACTTTTTCCAGAGACACATCTCCAAGTTGCCCGAGTCTACGATCGACGAGTACGTCCGGGGGGTTCGGCAGCTTGGCGATGCGTCCGCATCGGGAGCCGTGTTGTCGAATCGCATCAAAGAGTTTTGGAAAGACATGCGTGGCGGACGGCCGCTCAAGGTGCAGTACGGGTCGACGGAATCACAGGAGATTTCCATCTGCGACGAGGGGGCCGGCATGGTAGAGGTGAGGCATCTCGCCGAATAGGCTTACGCTTTTTCTGACACGAGTGTGAGCCAGGGTGATTTGGGGGTGCCGTTTCCAAACGTGACTATCAAGTTGTCAGAGGGTGACGAAGGGGAGCTGCTTGTAAAGACTCCGGCTATGTTTCTTGGGTATACATCTCCCTCACTTTTCGTCTGACGGCATGCGCTAAACACTGCCCGTGGTCTCAGGTACTTGAACTCGTCGGACTCTACGGCGCAATGTATGGACTCGGACGGGTTTTTCAAAACTGGTGATCTGGCCATCCGCCAGAACGGCCGGTACATCTTCAAAGGAAGGGCAAACATGGATTGTCAGCACTTGAACCCTCACTCATGCCCGTCTTGCGCGAGACGCAAAATCTAACGTTGTGCCATTGACGCAGTGTTCAAGTTTTATACGTACAAGGTCCCGCGGATGGAGGTCGAGTCCTGCCTGCTTGCGCTTCCTTATATCGAAGAGGGATACATCATGCCGGTGGCAGATCCGCAGTGCGATACCCGGGTGGCTGCCCTTGTTCGTCTCCGAGACTGTTTCCATACAGTTGACCTGAGTACTATCAGGGGCGACCTTTCCAGAGACTTGCCTGCCTATCAACTGCCAACTGTGCTTCGGGTTTTGAGAGACGGCGAAACGGTCCCTCGGACGTGGTCAGACAAAACCGCATTGAAGCAGGCAGTGCGGATGTTCTTCCCCCAAGACGACGAGGAACGGCTTTGTGGAGAGGCGATAGAAGTCATGGATGTGAGTGGCTTCATGAAGATGGAAACCAAGAAGCCATGGGACCTTTCAGGAATGAGGTAGCTGTCTCTTTACAGATGGTCGATCCCAAGCTGTAGTACACGCCAGAAGGAGGGCCAAATTCACAACCTGCCGCCAGCTCAGGGGAGACAGTTAGGAACAGAGTCCAAAATAAACAGGACCAATGGTATCCAATTTCCTAAACAGGGAATAAATTACAATTTACACCTCGCACACTCGACACACAGGGTCAGCCCGCCATCGTTCACAAACCCCTGACTATATATATACATTTGTGCTGAGCAGATTGTCATGTGGAGTGTTTTCCCAACTGCTCTTGACCAGGGAATTCGGCAGCTCTCGTTCGTCTTCCTCACCATAGCCGGACCACGCTCATATCCATCGTTCAGTGTCCTTTATATCTTCTAGTTTCAAGATACTAATTGTACTCAGTGAGGGCACCATCCTGAGTCCTCCTCCCTCACAACTCAAGGGGAAATGGACAACCAACAGAGCAGACTCAAGGTAGAGTTCAAGGTCATGGATCCGCGTTTTCCCACTACATTTCCGACAAGACCAGGCTTCCCTTTTCACATTCCTCTACACAAAAGGCACAGGCTTTCTTTCATACAGAAACGCCTGTAATACGGTAGAGCTGATGCGTGTCACGATGGAGGCTTGCAAGAAATTTCGCTGATTATTTCTGCTGCTCACCACTTTTCGACATGACCGTGCCAACTTTCCGACTCTACACTCCCTGCCACTTCAAACCATCGACATTTGACTTACCCGGTGCTCGAGAGGCCCGAAAGCTCTTCAACACACTCCCTGATGATTTCCAGTCCCTTTTCAAGTTCGTCTTCGGTGACAACCAGGGGCGGGGCGATACGAATGACACCGGTACGGCTGGATTTGAGCTGAAAACAATTACTAACAAGTCTTGTCAAGTGACGACTCCACGTATAAATACGTACCAAAAGGCCCTTCTCTTTCATCCGCTCACACAGTTCTATACCCAAGCATCTACTGGTCTTGGACTGGTCGATGACGAAGGCGTTCAAGAGACCTCTACCACGGACAGTTTGGATAATAGGATTACGAGCCTGGATAGCCCTCAGACCCTCGCGGAGAATATTGCCAAGGCTTTCGGCGCGCTTGACCAACTTTTCCTCGTCGACGACTTCGAGAGCACGCATGGCGACGGCCGCGCCGAGCGGATTGCCGCCGTACGTCGACCCGTGCGTCCCCGGCTCAACCGTGAGCATGACGTCGTTGCTGCCCAGGACGCACGAGACGGGATACATGCCGCCCGTCATGGTCTTGCCCAGCAGGACCAGGTCGGGCCTGACGCCGCTCCAGTAGTGCCCGAGCAGCCTTCCGGTTCGCGCAATGCCCGTCTGGATCTCGTCGCAGATCAGCAGGGCACGGTATTTGTCGCAGAGCGCCCGCGCCTCTCGGAGGTACTCGTCGTCGGCGACAATGACGCCGGCGTCTCCTTGGATCGGCTCGACGACAAAGGCGGCCAGGTTGAAGCCCGCGCTGTCAAAGGCCTCCCGCAGCGCGTCCTTGTCGTTGTACGCGATGGGCCTGTCGGTTCCGGGAATATAGCAGCTTATATTGGAGACTAGGGGGCCGTAATTCTCTCGCGACTGGGCGTCGGAAGCCAGAGAGATTGTGGCTAGCTGTGAAGCAAAGACGCTGCTGTCAACTGTGTTCACCTAAGTCGCTTCATGTTATGCCGGATTACGTACCGTTCGTCCGTGGTGGTTCCCTGCCGCGCCGAGGATAATCGCCTGGTCCTTGGGAACGCCTTTCACCTTGTAAGCCCACTTTCGAGCGACCTTGATAGCAGTCTCGGCCGCCTCGGCGCCAGTGCTTGAGGGCAGGACGCGGTCATAGCCAAACGTCTTGGTTACCATCTCGGCAAACTGCGGGTATACGTCGTTGTGAAAGGCGCGCGAGGTGAGCGTCAGCCGCGAGGCCTGGTCGACAAGCGCAGCGACGAGCTTCGGGTGACAATGGCCATGGTTGAGGGCCGTAGAAGCCGAGTGGAAGTCGAGATAGTGACGGCCCTCGGGGTCCCAGACAGATGCGCCCTGCGCGCGGGAAAACACAATGGGTAGGGACTGGTAGTTTTGGGCCGAAAAGTCCTTTTCGGCCTGGAGGGCAATGTCGGTCGTGGCAGCGCGGTGCGCAATCGCGAGCTTGCCTGGGCCCTTGTCCTTGACACCGTTGGACACCATTATGTTGAAGGACGACTTAGTATAGAAAACACAAGTAAATTTTGCAAAAGGATGGATGGAATGAAGAGGGCCGGGAACTTGGGAGACAGATACGGCCTTCAGGCGGGCTGAGGAAGCTGTATATCAGGAAGTGTTCAACCAGGGAGTATCCGGATCTCCAGACACATTGAGGGTATTTTAGCAGTTACCAGGAGAGCATGGAGAATGGCTACGAGTTCCATAACATTTGTAGGCTCTACCCAGAGTGATATCGACGCAGGGGCGACTTCACGCCGCAAGGAGGGACTGACTTATACTAGGAGAAACGGGAGTGCGAGAAGCAAAGAGGGAGAATTGTCCACGGTACTCACGCAACGCTACTAATGACGCAGTGGAACACGCCAACATGTCGGTTCCAGCCTCAGATAGTAATCCAAAGTCTCATCACATGCGCAACTCCAACACAGACCCTGTCCAGCCTACTGATATTCCACTTCTGTACGGCCACGCATCTCTCTTCCCTTACCCAACAGAATTTTGTACAATTATGGCAACGCTGGGCAGAATCATCCACGGGCCCCCGGCGACGAGACACGGCACAAGGGGCTCTGTAACAAAAGTAATATTGGGTTTCGGTGCATTGTGTAAAGCGCTCGGTCCCGGCTACCGCCGCATGGAGTATCAACCCGGAACTATTTGTTAGTGATATCCAATCCCCTATGCTCCCTTGGATTCGCTCCAGGATCTCAAGAGGTAAATATTGGTTCTCCCCCTATTATAGCGAATTACTACTATTGCAAGCCAAGAATTCAAAATTACCAGCCAAAAGTAGTATTGACATTGGATGCTCGACTTGGTAAATTTAGGGCCAATAACACAGAAGCATAAGAGTCAAGAGGTGCTAAACACAGACTTGACTCGGTTGTTTTCAACTCAAGGCATGATGGCCTACAAAGACGACAGCTGGTTAAGCAAGCCAACATACCTCTTTAATCATTATCGCTCATTTAAGAGAAAAACAGGGGGAAGCTTGTATTTGAAAAACATCCACAAACAGCCGGTACACCGCTTGTTTCCGTGACATAGCCAGGATAATCATGAGAATCGTAAAACAGGGAGACACAGAACCAGTACTGTCCCCAAGTCTACGCCGGCATAATCTATGGAAAATACCCGCGGGGATGAAATCTCTATTCATTCCTTGTTCCATGTTGTGCCGCGTATTGCTTCCCAACAACGCAGACGGCAAAACCAAAACTAGATTGTAAACTGCGAGAAAATGACGACGGGAGGAGCGGCTAAATATAGCCACACACCTATCCTTGTTGCTTTAGCCCGTGTGCTCATAACGTAGCAGTCTCATTCGCCGGATGGCGTAGCACAAGCATGATTTGGGGCGTCTTCGTGCCAAACCGCCATCTTGTTCACTCGCCCCGTCGCCAATATTGTTTGCCCGCCCAGCACTCTGATACTACACCACCCTCAACCACTCACCAAGCGTACACGCCCGTCATTTCGAAAAACAAACCCGCACTCGACCGCGCAAACATGAGCAACGGAAACAGCGTCACCGGCGAGGTCCAGCAGCAAAAGCGCTTCCTCCCCTCCATAGCAACCATGTCGCTCGGCTCGTCCACCCTCCACCCCCTAGATGTGAAGCTCAAAGTCGCAGCCGCAAAGGGCTTCCTCGGCATAGAGATGTACTGGGACGACCTGGTGCAGTACTCGCTCCAATTCCGCCCCAAGCCGCCCTCGCACGCCGCGCACGAGGCCGTCGCCGTCCTCGTGGCCGCCACCAACGTCGCCAACCTAGCAGCGAGGCTCGGCCTCAAGATCCTCTCACTCCAGCCGTTCCGCAACTTTGACGGCCTGGCCGACCCGGGCCTCCGGGAGAAGCGGCTCGACGAGTTCAGGCTCTGGCTAGCCACGGCGCGGCGACTGGGGGCCGACATCATCGGCGTGCCGAGCACCCTGCCCACGGTCAGCGCGGCCGACTACACCGACAACCGGCACGCCATCGCGGCCGACTTGGCGAAGCTGTCGCGGGCGGCAAAGGCGCAAGGCATACGTGTTGCCTATGAGAACCTGTGCTTCGCGGCGCACGTCAGGGACTGGCACCAGGCGTGGGACAGGATAGAGCTCGCGCGCGAGCCCGACGGCCTGCTCTTTCTCCCTGATACGTTCAACATTTGCGGCCGGACGTACATGGACCCAGAGGCGGCGGGGGGCAGGACGCCCAACGCAGAGGCGGACTTGAGGGCGTCCCTCGCGAGACTCGTCGACACGGTTCCCATGTGCAGGATGCCGCTGCTGCAAGTTGCCGATGCGGAACTGCCCGACGAGCCGCTGACGCAGGACCACCCTTGGCGCAAGGAGGCGGGACTGGTTCCCCTCATGGCTCTCAGTCGGAACGCCAGGCTGTTTCCCTTTGAGGAGAGAGGGTACTTGCCTGTTGTGAGCGTCATACAGGCCCTTGTCGGCGCCGGATGGGAGGGATGGGTGAGCATGGAGGTGTTTTCGAGGACTACGGCAGTGCACGGGGAGGAGACCATCTGGGAGCACGCGGAGAGGGCTTGGGAGAGCTGGGAGAAGTTGGCTCGCGTCATGGGTTGGCCGGCTCGGCCGCGGATAGACGGCAGCAGGTAGTTTATTTCTAAACACGGGCGAAGAGGGCGCCACGTCTTGCTGTATTCAACGTACCCCCGATGTCAATATTCCATGAGCCCAGAGTGAGTGCCATCGGCCACCCTTTGACAACGAGAATGATGTGTCGTCGTCGTCAGGCGGGATCGTCGAGCACATGGTATTCGGCACTGCTTGGTTTGCCGCCGTTGCAATCGGTGATATCCATGGGACAAGCACTCATGAAAATCACACAGTCCTGTTCGGCCTGCAGCACAACGTAATCTCCGGCCTTGCTCTGCGGTCTCAAGTTGTGCAACTTGTTGCCTTTGACGACGACGTTCATGAACAGGTTCAGCGGGTCGGGCACCCATCCACATTCAAGAAACTCGACTACCTTGTCGAACGCTGCGTCGCCATATGCCTTGACTGCCGAGTAGAGATTATTCGCGCAGCTGTCATGCTCAGGAGCGCTACCGAGCTGGGCATAACGCTCCGGGGAGCAGGCGGCGAAGAAGACGTCGTGCACGCCGGGTGACGTATCGTGAAGCATTGTGAGCATCGGCCGTCGTCGATTATCGAGGAACGTCTCCCGATTCGAGGGCATCAACTCAGGCAAGGTCGAACGTGTATGGACCATGGACATGTAGGCGGGGAACATGCCCGGGGCTGGGATGCAAAAGGCCCATGTATCAATGACTTGACTGCCGTTTGTGTTGATGACTTTGATAGCCTGCCCGGTGTGCAATCGAGCAAAGGCAAAGGAACGGGCTGGAATGGTGAGCATGGCGTCTAGCCGTGCGTTTGAAATTCGTGTGGAAGAAGATGCTGATGAAAATAGCAAGTGAGGGTGATGACACAGATGAGGGGTTCCCGCATGATTTCCAAGGTGGCGAAACCGACGTGGCGGCAAGATGCATTGTGCCGCTTTGTGCGACGTTGAGATGCGGCGGCCTCGCCTTTTATTTCAATTTTCATGCCAATTGATGTGCTTGGTGGTTCAAATTGGAACATTGAAGCTGCCAGGTACGTACCTCTATAGTCTCCCCCGACAGATTTTACCTTCCCGATCCCGCTTTTGGTGCCAAGTCTGAGCTGTCGCTGCTTTACCCTGAGCAGAGGTGATCAGGAGGGTGATCAACTCTGAGCTGAGTACTCAAGGGCCACACCGCAAGCGAGGTTTGAGCAGGTGCGATCCGCGAAGGATTCGCGATGCCGGAGCTTCCATTTCTCGCAGATTTCTCGTGGTCTGTCCGCGCCCAGGTGACTAGGATGGCGGGCATATGCATAGCAAGCACTGCATCTCTGATTTACCAACCTGCCTTCAGGTGGCAAAACAATGCCACAGTTCGGATTGCCACATCGGTTCCCTTCGCCATTGTCCCGAGCATTCTCCTGAGCATTCTCCTGAGCAGGCACAGGATACCCAGGCTCCCTCTCCCGCTTTTCGCCTCCCATGCCACTCTGTCTTATGTTTGGGTTGACTTCCTGTCCCATGTCCTGTGGCGAAACCTGCTTCAGGATTGCTTCAGAACAGTCTTCGCATCTTTGTCGGTATTTCGCTCTTGGACCGCCACAGTCCTGACAGATCCCATCTTCTCTGCGTTCGCGTTGCCAGACCCGGTTGTCAGCAAGGAAGCACTGTTCGCACAATCGTTTTCCAACCGCTCTCGGTCCACCACACGCAAAATACCTGAGCGCGACCGAAGGGTCCTGCCCTAGCCTGGTTGCCAGATCAACCCGGTATCCTCGACGCCTTCTCATCTGAACAGCAACTTCGCACTTGTTGCACATGTTTCTCCCTTTCGAGCGTTGCTCCCCGCGCTGGCAGAGGCTCGGGTGAGCGTTGGGCTTCATCTTATAGCAGCGCAGGCATATGTGATTGCCATCTGCCTCGCCCCCGCAAAGGGTACAGAAGGATTTGCCGCGACTGTTGATCAGGATCAGCACCGCGAGATCGATTTCTTCTTCGGGGACGTCTCCAGCGCCAGCGAGTGCTCGCCGGCGGCATTGAGCCCACCATGCGGATCCAAGACGTAGTGCTTGGATCGCTTTTGTTTCATCGACGGCGGCTTTGACAATCTCTTGTGCCGGAGTTCCAACCGTGGGCGGGGGTATGACTTCAAGCGTACTTTTCAACCTTGGGGCCCAAAGTTCGTTGTAAATGCGGACTGGGGTATTCATATCTTCCTTCGCAGTGAATGTGAATCTTGACTCCCCATGGTGCCTTGATACCGTGTCGACCAAGTGGGCAGAAATGGCTTTTCTTGTCCGGAAATATCCCTCGCTGAGAAGCCAAAAGCTTACAGCGTCGAGAATACTTCGTTTTGTGGCGTAGGGGGCAAGACCCAGTGAGACTGGGTCGGCAGAATCTCTTCGTGGTCAAAGCCTGCCCGAGACAAAGCATTGCGATACGCTATTTGGTCACAGGACCATGTAGACCACTCTGCTACCTTCATTGAGGGGGCAGACTGCTTCAGTTGCCGCCAGTGATCTGCAAGCCAAGCCACATCACAGCCAATTGGAGTTTTAAGGGATGGCGACCCGAAAGCTCTGCGTAAGCCCTTGGCTTGATGTTTCGACAGCTTCCCGCCACAAAGATCTGCAGCCAAGCTCCAGATCTCCTCGACTGTGTTGCAACCGTGATTAATGTGGCTTGCAAAAACAACGTTTCGGTGTGCATCGACAACGGCAGCTTGAATGAGAAGCGGGCCGACGGACTCAGTGTCTGTGAAGTAGATGTCCTTCAAACCCCGAAAGTCAGCAAGGAACTGATATTCCTCCGGCGTAATTTTGGCGTAGACTCTTTCTGGATCAGCGAGAAATTCGGCAGCGTCGGCGGGAGTTCGGATGTCGAACTCCGATCCTCTTGCCAGGGCGAGCGGCACTGCTAGTCGTATGGAGGAAGGAAGGCGGGATGCATCAACAATCTCGAGGGCATGGTTTTCACACAATTGCGTTCCCATCGACTTTGTCTCCTGGCAGTGTCCTTCCCCGTGCTCGCAGGGCGAATCTTGGCGGTTTTCGGCAGGTCTTTTCTAGCGACCCGAGGAAAACATTGAATGCACCATCTGCTTCACGCCTCTGCATGCTTCGCATAACGAACGTAGCTGCATGTCAGGCAGCTTCAGCCCGTGCTCGTTAGAGCGTACAGCCTTTTCGACGACAGAATTCTTGAGGGAGATAATCCTGCGAAAAGGGCAGGCAAGATAGGGCGTGGCCCCAACACATCTCTGGGCTTTCGGGTATCTCAGCACACCGCAATAGTCCATCCGACCTAGCAAGTACCAGTAAGCATGAGATAAGCTCCTCGTAGAGGGAGATGTACTCACGCAGTTTCTCGAGGTTATAGTTATAAATAGAGTCGTAGCGTCTTGAGATGGAGTGGATGTTCAACTGGAGAAGTTAGCAACCATACTTTCAGCGGGGTTCTGAATAGTCCTACCTGATAGAACTTCCGCGAATATTCGGCAAGGTGGTCCTTAATCCATGTCGGTGCATCATCGCGGGAGATTTCCGGAGGAAGTTGGAGAAGGCTATTGATGGGCACATATTCGTCCGTGGTATGACAAAGGTCCAAGTATGTTACCATGGGGTCGACCATTTGTTGTACACTCTCCACTTCTTCCAAATGAAATTGCTGAAATGACTTGAGCGATGATACTACAAGGCCATGACGAACGCTGACATGTCGTAGAAACGATGCCTTGCGGCCCGCGTGTGTCAAGGCTTGACTCGCGAAGTTGCATGATAGAAACGGACAAAGAGCCGACTGTGACTCATGCTCAAGGAGGTTGTGGATGCTCATTGCCCAGTTGGAATACAAGTCGTCCCTGTCCTGGCAGTCCGAGTGTGCGCATGGACGATGCTAGAGTCCATGTCTCGCAGCCTTGTGCATCTCCAACGAATCTGCCAGAACAAATAACTCTGAGCAGTATGGACACATCTCCTTTTCGCCTTGCTGTACGAATGATCTTGGACGAACGACCGCAAAGTGAGTCGTCGAAGCTGGGCAATATTTGCTGTGTTCAATTTGGTCGCGTTGGGAATCGAAGGACCTGATGCAAGACTCTTCGGAACAGGTGTTCTCAATGACGAGTTCGTCTCCGTTGACAATGTTGATGTTTGAGCGCTCAAAAAGGTTAGGTGCCACGTCGATGATCTCTTCTTCATCTTCTTCTCCTTCCTCGGAATCAAAGCCATCGAGGTCGTCTTCTGCGTCGCTGTCTTCTCCTTCTGAGTCGCTGGGGTCTTCGTGGATAGAAAGTGCTGAAAGAACGCGGTTCTCGCCAAGATCCATCGCGCCCATGGCCGGGGTAGCAGGGGACTCAATAAAAATTTAAAAAGTTTAAATAATATTTTAATATAATTTAATAAGCTTTTAAATATTTATAAATATTATAACTTTTTTTAATAATATTAGTCAATTAAATAGCATGGTAGATTCATAGTTCGATGCTACTATCTGCGCGGTCAACGCCATAGTACCTTATGCGTCACCGCTGCCAGTCCAACCCAGTCTCCGTTATCGCTATCACGCCGTTGCCCCACCTCGTCGATCTCCATTATTTCCTTCCCCAGTCATAACCCAAACCTCATCCCCAACAACATCCGACTCACCAGCAATTGACCTTTCAGCAAACCGCTCAGTTGCTGCCCAAGATGCTGCCAGGTGTCGTCAGGGTCGGCGAGGCCGGTCAGACCGCTGCCCGAACCTTCTCGCGCGCAGCCGTGAACTCGAGCCGATACCGCAGTCTCTCGACCGCTCGTCAGAATGCTGCCTCTCGACCGACTGCCCGTGCAGCGACACCCTCTTTGACCTCGACCCGATCCCTCAACAGCGCCGTCCCAAGGACATCCGCCCTCTCTGCCGCCTCCTCACCCACCAGCAACAGGATCCGCGAGATCGTCGCCCAGACCATCAGTAACATTGGCAGCAAGCGCGAGACAGCAGCCTACCTCCGCGTCTTCACCGTCACCGACCAGCAATTCGCCGTCATCAAGGTCGGTGGTGCGATTCTCCGAGACTACCTCGATGAGCTATGCGGTAGCATCCTCCTGCTCTACGAGCTCGGTCTATACCCGATTGTCGTCCACGGCGGCGGTCCGCAGCTGAACTCTCTCCTAGAGGCTGCTGGCGTGGAGCCGCAGTTCGAGGGAGGCATCCGAGTGACGGATGTAAAGACTCTGGGTATCGCGAGAAAGCTCTTCCTGGAGGAGAATGCGAGGTTTATTGAGCGTTTAGACTCTCTTGGCGTTGCGACTCGTGCTATTCAGGGTGCTTTCAGGGCTACTTACCTTGATAAGGAGAAGTGGCAGTATGTCGGTAAGATCACTGAGGTCAGGACACAGGCTATCGAGAGTAGCATTAGGGCCGGCTATGTGCCGATTCTTACTTCAATGGCTGAGGGCGATGACGGTCACCTCCTGAATGTCAACGCAGACGTTGCGGCTGCTGAGCTTGCTCGTGCTCTCAAGCCTCTCAAGGTCGTCTACCTCTCAGAAAAGGGCGGTCTCTTCAACGGCGAGGACAAGAAGATCTCTCAGATCAACCTCGATGAGGAGCTTGAAACCATCAGTCGTCAGCCATTCTTCAAGTTCGGAACACGTCTGAAGATCCTGGAGATCCATGATCTGCTCAAGGATCTGCCTCGCAGCTCCAGTGTCGCTATCATTCACCCCAGTGATCTTGAGAAGGAGCTGTTCACCGACTCTGGTGCTGGCACGCTCATCCGTCTTGGCGACCGCATCCAGAAGGCCACTTCCATTTCCGAGTTCAAGGACATCGAGAAGCTCAAGGCCGCCCTTGTCGGCAGCTCTCAGGGTCTCGACACTGAAGCTTCAGTTGACACATTCATCAACTCACTAGAGGAGAAGAAATTCTCCGCATACTACGACGACGCCATGCAATGCATTGCCATCGTCAAGCCCGGTGGCGCGAAGCAGACAATGGCTGTCCTCACAAGCCTTTCCACCACCAAATCTGGCTGGCTCAGTGGCATGATGGACAACATCTTCACTGCCATCAAGCAGGATTACCCGACTTTGGCCTGGGCGGTCGATGAGAGGGATGAGAACCTGGCGTGGTTCTTTGAGAGGTCTGATGGCAGCTTCCATAATGATGGCAGGGTGCTGTTCTACTATGGAACTTCGATGCGCTCGGATGCTCTGGTTCCTGTTTATGAGGATTTCTTAAAGAGTGGACAGGCTACGCCTAGCGAGTAGCGCCCTCACTGGGGGAGGCTTTTCTATAGACATGCTTTGATATCAATACCAGTCCTTTCGCAGACACCAAATGACCAGTTCAAGAATCGAGTTCGGTAACGTGCAAGCTCGAGCTATCCATGGAGTCAGTGCCCATGACAACTTACTCTAGCAGACATGGCAGTGGAATCGGATCATCATGGGACAATCAACATGGGAGTATGTGAGATGAGTATTCCTATGATACGATCCATGACATCATCCAATCAATAAATTACAAAAGCTATCAACGCTAAAAGCAAGAAGCCGCCCAGAGGTATATATCCCTGAGTATCCCGTATCAGCGCCTAAAAGAATCTCTGGTATCAAAAGAGTAGTCCTGATTTGCTCTCGCAGAACTCTCATATACAAAACGCCTTTCGCTTGGCGTTTCAATCGTAAAGTAGGTAAGTGCTGTAATCCTCTCCTATCTCTTCCTTCGTGAATCGCGAAGCGCATCGCGGTCCGTATGCCGCAGAGAATCATTGCGATAAAATGATGTACAATAATTGGACGCTTCGCTGTCCGTGTCCGTACGCTGTGGAGGACGAAAAGAGGCATGCAACGGCTTGCGTTGTTAATATGTAGGATGTCTTCGCACTGCGAACGAGCATGTTTTTCGATGATGAGTTGGTACCTCTCAGCCATCGAGACAGGTGCTGGCGTCAAGCTCTTCTGCTACAGCCCTTCCCTTTGTACCATCCTTTGGTAATGCCGTCATCTTCGACGTGCTCCTGTATCTTTTACGCATCCGAGCCGACTTGTGCACGACACGAGGGCAGAGCGAAGCAGCTTGTGCGGACGTCCTGTAGTACAGAGGATCGCCAGCGCGTCTTGGTGCTGCGGACAATAGTTCTTTGCGTCGGGCAGATACGGCGATGGTGCATGTTAGTGGCTCTTCGTGGCCTTCATTGGTGGCTGTGGTGTCGACGAAGAGCTCAACGTCTGGCACGAAAGCTTCTGGCGAGGATGTGTGATGCTGAGAGGTAGTCTGGTTTGACTGAGAGTCCTCCATGTCGACCATATGTGCTGTTGAAGACTTAACGTACGGCGGCTCTGCGGTGGTGATGGGAACCGTATATTGATGATGCTCAAGGTTGTGAGAGTGATCATCCTCAAGTGTATTGGCTTCCGGATCTCCATTAACATGATCGACTTCTATCGGCTGAGAGAAGCCGTTCGGCGAGAAGATGTACGATGATTTCCAGTACCGATCTTGCAGAGCGAGCGTCTGTAGGCTTATCGCGTCGGTGAGCTGCTCGAACACCTGGGGTTGTGGTTGTGCATCGGGTTGGAGTGTTGCGTCCTGAGTCCGGCTTGGACTTGATATGTCATTTTTTGCGAAAGACGAGTCTTGTATCAAGTAAATGGCTGTCCTTGTTGCGCATGGTACGCAAGGTTGTGTTTCGTTTGAGTTCGTGTGTTGTGAGTGAGTCGGTATGGGCGAGGCATGTCGCGAAGCCTCGCCCGGCGCAGCGCCCGGCTCGCTCATAACGCTGGATAGGACATGAGTGGCAGCCGATGCGTGTAAAGCGGCTGTCCTGAATGAAGTGATCTCATCGATCGCGTGGTCGTCGTTGTTCAGTCGCTCTGCCGGCATGCAAAGACCAGAGGTGCTAGACAAGGCGTTTACATAGTTGCAAGAGCATACGGTGACGATCCCACCGAATAGATGGAGACAACTACGAGTATTAAATAGGTTAACATGGCTAAGTCTTTTGCTATTCTTAGAGTTCTTAATCTGCTAGCTTTTATTTCTTTTTATAAAGCTGCTTACAGCAAAAGGTTAACTTTTTATTTTCTTGCCCTTATAGGCTTGAATAAAGGTGATTAAAGGTAATGCTCACTGAGCAGGGGTGATCACAGTCTGAGCAAGAGCGGCGGTGCTGACTAACCGAGCCCGGGCGCGGGACTCCCGGGTTTCGTTGCAGACTACCTAGGTAGTTGGCTGACCTGGTGGCTAGGGTAAGGGTTAGGTCTATTTTGGTCTCTAGGCTATATGCCCTTCTAGTTTTCCTTTTCCAATTGAAATCCACAAAATCCGAGACTTGTAATGCTTTATATATTGAAAGAAATCAATAGCTGTTATGACAAAGGTTAGTAGATGGCAGTTAGTAATAGCTATTTGCTTCTAAGTCTTCATAGCTATATATATAGCTTCTACCTATAGCGTGCTTCTTGTAGTGGCAGGCCACCCGGCAGCAGCTGCTCGAGGTCAGAAAAAACAAGGCTCAAGAGCAAATACTCTACATATAGCTAGAAGCCTTGTAGGTAGGGTTAGGGCTAGGTGCCTAAATTAACGGCTTGACAGACCAAGTCAACCAGACGTTACCAATCGTGACAAACATGAACACGTTACATATTACCGCCTTTATCATCTCGTTCCGAATAAGCCATCACTTTATTAGAGGCCCAAAATGCCTAGAGAAGACATATACCAGCCTTTTCGACCTTTTTATCGAACTCGTTTATGCTTTGGCGCCTACGGTCGAACCCATTATCCACTCGCAGGTTTCCCTCAGACCTCCTTTGTCCAGAATGTCCTTGACAACCCGCTGGTCATGTCGTCGTGGATTTGTTTTGATCATCTTCTTGCTTTGCTAGCAAGTCTTTTCAGCTAGATTAGGGAATAGATTAGCTCGGAACTTGCTGTGCCCTGTTGCAGCACCTGAGCAGTGTGTATTAATGGAAAAGACATATAAGTAAATATATTCATTGTAAGCGTTTGATAATACCCTTTTTCAAGTGGCGATAGAAGATGGTGCGACAAATCTCGACCTTTATAAGAAAAATGTGAAATTTTACGTCGTCACGGTGCGGCAAGAGCTAGATCTAGAACCTAGGGCCTGGAGAGGTAACAATTCAATTCAAAGATAATCTCGTATGGTGTCAATAGGCCCTTGGCTCTGAATAAACGGAAGATCAGCAATGGCCAGATTATACACATGAAAGAAACAGAGATACCCGAGGCTTCTAGCGGGTTCGTGGTCGCTTGTAACGGCGCTGGGCTTTGTTGAACTCCAACCGTCTGGTGTAACACAACATTCACGTCCATGTGCGAATTGATCGTAGGCAATGTCAGCGGCCTGTCCGAGGGAACACGCGCACAGACCTAAAAGACGATCCGAACCCACCAGACAGATCAATTATGCACTTGTACGCCTGTAGAAGCTAGCTGAACAGTAGGGCGGCGGCGAGTCAGTCGGTTAGTGAAGGGGCTTACACAGGCAAGACAGAGATTTACAGATTCGACATCGGCATAATACCCTCCGACGCAGCTGGTAACCATCTAGTCGCTACATCTTGCTCCTTCATCTTGGCCTAGGCTCGCCGCCTCGGTCATGTTTTTAAGGGACGTCATGGGATGACGGCTGTTTACCGTTGCAAAATTGTATAAAATAGATCGCCTTGGCGGGGGGCCGTGTAGGCAGCAACTCCATGTACGTTCTAATTTGGACTGCCTCGACAGGTGGCGGAGATGAGTACTACAGCGCGCTCTATCGTGCCGCCTTGCGGGCGAGGGCGTCTGGTTCAAATATCAGACATATCAACGGTCGTCTGGTTGAATACTAGGCACCCCAATCAGCTGGTCAAAGTCCTAGACCTTCTAGAAGTCCATGTTGCTACGAAACACGCATTCTCCATGGAGAACAAGCGACGCGACCCACAAAAGAAAATCTTCACCGGCCGGCCAAGGCTCCGCCGCCACGGCGGAGAGTTCCTTGTACAGACGTATTTTTTTCCTTGTCGAGTTTCGCCAGGCCAGGGGGGTCGTGACGCCTTTTGCCAGAGTCACGGGAGGGCGCAGGCAGTGGCGTGATGCGGCTCCTCGGTGGCGTATGCATCTCGATTCTTGATGCGCGGTTCTCATGAATGACGGCAACCTTGTTGGCATGCGAACTAATCGCGGCCGTTTGCTTAATTTAGTTACTTTGCCACAACGATTGGGTGCATAAATGATGCATGAAGGTTTTCTCAGAAAAGGGGCAAGGGGGGGGGTGTTCTCACCGACAAAATAAATGGACGCATTCAATCGCTTCATCGGCCCATCATGACCGCTGTGGACATAACCCCGTTGCAATTTACTCGTCGTGCGCATGTTGGACACAAAGTTTGTTTGCGTACACAAGACTGCTCATCAAGGCCCAAGGTGAGGTGAGGGCGTTTTATCCCGAAGCTATGCGGCGCGAGGGCCCCGCTGCGTGCCGAAGCCGCGTCGGCTTAAACGGAACAGGGCCGAATGGAAATGAGACAAATTAATGAGAAAATAATGAAAAAAGATAGATCCCTGGTAATAGGGTTTGTGCTACGTATTCTACACCTTGGCCGAGGTGTTCATGTGAGTGCATTCGTGTTATCCCTGTAATTTCTTGTTAATTTGGTCGCTTCTGGAAATGCGGCGGATGGCGGATATGCGGAAGGCGGATGAGGGAGCGCTCACGATGAGGCCAACGAGGCATTGCCATCGGCCGGGGGCCACATAGGTAGTGCAAAGATTGCATTTTTGGTTTTCCGTCGTGCAATCGCTCCCGCATATGGCCAGATGCCAAAGCCGAAGCCCCATGCTTGACAGCAGAATACCACGGCAGGTCGGCGCGGTGGTTGACCATGGTGTAAGCCGATGGGAAGGGCTGCAGATCCAATGTTGGCTAGTGACGGCGCCAGCCCTTGTCACACTTTATTCCCGAGCCTGACACTTGTCCTTTCCCGACAGCCCTTCTCCGAGTCACCGAGATCACAAGGGCGCCATTTGCATGTTGCAGCCTTAGTCGCCGTTGGCTCGGTTCATTCCGAGGTGAGTGAGGTGAGGTTGGCTTGCCCAGGGGGTTATGACACTACGTTTCCACTGCTGGCGGTGGCTGGGACACCGCTCTGATCCAGATGATTAAATAACACGTGAGCGTGCTTGCAGTAAGGTACCCCCAGGTGCCGGTACATGTTGGGCTCGAAGAGCAAATCATCACCAACCTGGTGGTGCCTGGCAGACTCCATGTCAATACTCGCGCAACAATAAATGTAGCACCGCGGGGACTCCAAGATATGTATGGCCAAAAAAAAACCCGGGGAACAATCCCCAGATCAGAACCAACGGGTCCGATCATGGAGCCGCGTCCAGGAAGCCCAACATCATTATTCAATATCAACGAGTCTGGAAGCATTGCCTGGGCCAACTCCGTTGTCGGAGCGGGAACAAGAAACGGGGAGCGGGAAGAGCCTCAGGGAACCTGACGATGGAGACATTACCATATCGGGCAGTTGGATGGCATGCTACGCGGCAAGGCGTCATCTGACTCGTAGACTGAAGGATGAGGCTTTGCGACATGTGAGGAGCATGTACAAGAACCGAGTACCACGCATCGTGTACATGGCTGTAGTATTTGCATCAATAAAGCACTCCGTACTCGGTACCTAGATGTCCCCTGATGGACCAAAAGGTCAAAAGGTAACTTTGGAGGAAGAACATGCTCTGCATCCTTGGCTTGACCTTGGATGCGACACATGGTTCTCCCACGCCACTGGCGAATCATGACTGGGAATGGAGCAACGATGTTGTCAATCTGCGGCAGGAGCAGCGTATGTGGGTTCGCCGTGGGTTCACTTGGGATCGATTTATTGCCTGCAGAGTTTTGGTTCTTGTGTAAGGGAGTGTGGAATACCTTGAAGGTACTTGGCGTATGTTTCTGTCAGGTGAAGATGTGGGCCGGCGGTCATGAACACCGGCGGGAGGGTTTGGCCACGAGGAATCTGGATGGCTGGACAAGGGCTTGAGAAACGCGTGCTATAGCGAATGGCGACGCCGACGTGCCATGTGCCATGTGAAATGAATTTCGAGCAACATTTAGGATCCGACTGCGCTGTGCTGCACACATGAAACAAATGGCAGCGCCGACTTGCGGTGTACGAATTGTAAAGTTCTCGCTGATCCCTTGCGTTTGGGAAGCAAGCTTTAAAAGTGGATCCGACATCGGCTTGACGCTGGCTCCTTCCTTGCCTCCGATGTCTGGCTGGGTAGCGGTTGCAGCTGTTGTCGTCTCTGAATTCTAGTTGGCTGGCCCGGCTGCTGTTATTAGATGACGGCCAACTTGGCAGCATGTGGGCATCGTACGGAACATTAAAACAGTACAGTATTATTCACCAGACTGGCAATATGGCCCAGACAGAATATTCGCCCACTGCCAAGTATATTAAGATAGTTTATTTAATATGTTACAGTGTACCCCGTACCTGGTCAGCTACTTTTCACTTCGCATCGGCGATCGTGGCAACCAGGTGGCTGCATGCTGAAGAATGGGCAGATTGCTGATTCCATAAGCACACGTGTTTGCCCGCGACATTGATACCTCGTGGACTCCATTGACTCATCGGCTACGCGCCTTGTATTGACATGCGTATCAAATAAAAAAATAATACTAATTGCAAAGGATGGCGCCAACGGAGACTAGTAGGTACATGCAACCGTAATGCAAAATCGTGCTCATCAAGGACAGTCTGAACTGAGCGACTCGTGCGAAAAGTACTGGGGGGCATGTGATGGGACCCCCTTGCGCGTGTTGTTGGTGTGATTTGGGCCAAGGCGCCCTCTCACGAGTACACGGCACCCGAGTACCTGCGCACACCAACTTGCGGCCTGGCACTCCGTGCTCGGGACTCGGAAAAGGGCAACTGGTCGACCGGGCTGCCGTTCCGCCGCGGGTCCCGCCCACTGGTTTGAATGTTTGGGAGTGGCACGTTCCCAGCTTGGCCTGGCTAGTTGGTGCGCGCATGTCATTCCAACAAGGGCGCAAGCCATGACATGTCCCAGCAACGCCGCTGGCCAGCTTTGGTATTATTTGATTCGACCAGATTCCACAAACGAGCACATCATGGCAAAGACGAAGCTCCCCGACGCGCAGCGCCGCAATCCGGAGCTCAGTGATGCCTCGAAGCAAGGTCTTGGCCCGTCCCACAATTTGTACTCTACCAATGTACATGCGCCTTTCAGGTGGTTAATCCGTTCGCCTTGGCCTCGCACGCCCTACAGACAGCCACCGTTGACGTCCAGGTCACAGGTTGGAAGCCGAAGCCGAACAATCACGACATTGCTGGATTGGGGTGAAGCGTGGGAGTCATAGTCAGCCACTTTTGGGGGATTTGAAAGCAACAGCTGCAAGAGCCGATGCAGGTACCTTGGTTGTACTCGCTGTTGCTTGCATAGCGTCGCTGCTGGCGATGAGTTTCAAAGCTGACGAAGCATTCGTTTGGTCAAGGTACGGCCATGAATGATACGACTGTCAAATGGTCTGGTGTCTGGTGCATGCAACTATACCATCGAAGCCAACTGAACGGTGTCAGCCAGTGGTACCAGCCCAGTCTTGTTTTCAGCGCCACTGGCACCCCAATGCCCACCCACGCTTACCGTTGGAGGCAGGAATACAGAGAACAGCCAGCGTTGGAACACCACAAGACTCCATGTCCGTGCATGTGCTCCATTGCGCGATGCCTCCAAAGTCGAAAGACCCGAGAAAAAAAAAACAAGCGTCCTGCTGGGAAGGGGTCCTTTGGTTTCTTTTTTTCAAAGTAATTTTTTAACCCTAACTGCTCATTGATAGCCCTTTCTGGTGGATTCTACCCGACTGGCACTAAGCTTAATGTTGCCTCCAAAGGCAGGCACAACCGGCCATGCATAAAGTTAGGTACATGTGTACTTGTACCTTGGTAATTAAGTTACGGAGCCCACCTCAGTCTATGCCCGGGTCTGCCCACTGTAAAACAAAAAGAGGCAAGTGACTGGACTTCTGGCTCAAGCAGCGTTTGGTGGATGCGGGCGACCAGTCTGCCACTGCATTCTCAAACACTCGAATGCGTCAGGGCCGTGGAGCGCTGTACCACCCGCTGAAGACGGACTGCCCTCCCTGTGTTGCGTGCGGCATCCACTCGGTGGGGCTCCGCCGGTGCAGAGTACGGAGTACTTCCTGGCACCTGGCCCCAGAGTACTAAGGGAAGAGTCAAGTTTAGAAAAAAAATCAAGTCACCAGGTGTCGCGCCAGACCCATCCCGGCCCAGCACCGCCAGGTACAGCCAAGGTACCTCCATGCCAACTCTGCATAGGGTACCCACGCATTCGTTCTCGCGCCCACGCCTTTCGACCATGACACATTGGTTCCGTAAAAGGTGGATCCTCCAAGCAGGCGCGTGGATCGACTCTGCCCTTTTTTTTTTTTGCTTGTTTTTTCGCCAACGGCCCAGCTCCGGCCGTAACATGCCGTTTCGTCGGCGCAACCTCGCACCACGTCGCGGGTTTGTATATAAGATCGGGGCATGTCCTCTCCCTCCATGGATTCTGAAATGCCCCGTTATCGCACTTGTCCAGCATCTGGCTTTTGGCATTTGTAAATTGACCCCTGTTGGTAATTGTTTACTCTCTGTTGTTCTATCATCTGGCATCTGGCGAGCCGTGTACATTGACGACAACTTGTATGACCGCCTCACTGGCTTCACTTACACCAACCCCCACGACGACGTTTACCTCCAGTAACTGCAACGGCCACTACACAACACCACCAATTTTGCAAAATCGGTGCCGGAATACACGCCAGCCGGGAAAAGGGAGAAGAAAAAAAAAGAAACAAATCAGCGTCACCAAGGCCACGGCACGGCCCACGTCGCATCGGCGGCCGTCACACCTGTTCGACTCGGTGTCTGCTGCACGGCTAGCGCCATCGGAGCAAATCCCCATCAATCATCGTCGCCACGGACATTGCCGCCCGTGTGCGCATACGTCAGGCCCCAATCGGACGGGAAGCATTTTCCGTCCCAAAAACAGGTCGCACACCACCCAACCCGGCATTTACCTGCCGAGGAGCCGTCACCGCTGGTACGGGAGGGGAGGGCAATCGGCCAACAAGAAAAGCACAGACGAGGAGAATTCGTCCCGGCGACTCGATTTCGGCGTCTTGTGCCCCTCCGAGTAGACAATTCCCTTGCCAGCGCTGGGCATAGGAGGGGTACGTTCAAATTTGGTCTGAAGAGCTGCCCAAGGCCATCATCACCACCAGACGGGGCTTGGGTCCCACGAGCACAGTTGACGCTTTGGAATCCGACTCGACGGGTGCTCCTTCCATTTGAATAGAATAGCTCGATACACAACGACACGCAGCAAGGCAACCTAACCTCCCGCCCATCATGCCCCACCTCGTCGCCAACTTCCTCCGCACCTCGTCCGGCAACATCTCGCATATCAAAAAGTCTGCCATCACACGATCCCGAACCACGTCGCGCAACAACTCGGTCAGCGCCAGCCCCTACGCCTCCGACTCCGAGGACCATGCGCAGCACTCGGTCAAGATGCCCGAGCTGGGAGACGCCCTCAAGAAGCACCGCCTGTCGCTGCACTTTGGCCGCTCCTCGAGGCACGATGGCGCCGCCGGCTCATCGCACTCGGCCTCGTCTGGCGGGCCGCACGCCCCTGCCTCCATGGACTGGAGCATCGAGAGCCCGCCGATTGTGTTTTACGGCTCGCCCGAGGAGAGCACCGGCGCCCTCGTCTCGGGCCTCATGTACATCGACGTCCACGCCGACGCCATCGAGGTGGACAGCTTCACCGCCAGCCTGACCATGCACGTCACCCAGAAGAAGCCCTTCCAGAGCCACTGCGCCGACTGCCAGACCAAGGTCACGGAGCTCAAGAACTGGCAGTTCCTGGCCCATCCCACATCTCTGCGCCGCGGCAGGCACCAGTTCCCCTTCTCGACCCTGCTCGACGGCAGCCTGCCCGCGTCGACGGACACGCCCATCGTCTCCATCTCATACCACTTCAAGGCCGAGGCCGTGGCCGTCCGCGGGCCAGCCTCGACCTCGTGCCTGCCCATCCGCTTCGAGCGCCCGCTGCACGTCAAGCGCTCGCTGCCGGAGCCGCTGTACCCTCACCACTCGGTGCGCGTCTTCCCCCCGACCAACATCAAGGCGTCGGCACACTACACGGCCGTCATCCACCCCTCGGGCAGCAACGCCGTCACCCTCAAGCTGGACGGCCTGATGACGCACAACGAGCGCGTCAAGACGGTCGACCTGTGGAAGCTGAAAAAGGTCACCTGGAAGCTGGAGGAGACCATCAAGACCATCGCCCCCGCCTGCGACAGGCACGCACCCGCCTCTTCTGCTGCCGCCGCCGCCGACGCCGACGACAACGAGGCCAAGAGGGGCGCCCCCCGCACCGAAACCCGCATCCTCGGCGAGAAGCAGCTCCACGAAGGCTGGAAGTCGGACTACTCGGGCAACGACGGCACCGTCGACTTCGAGTTTGACTACGCGGTCAACCAGCCGCGCACCCACGGCAAGGAGCCCCGGTACGCGTGCGGCCTCAAGACCCAGGACGGCACCGAGGTCTCCCACGCCCTGCACATCGAGCTCATCGTGTCCAAGGAGTTTGCCCCCGAGGGCAAGACCCACCTCGCCGCCCAGACCGGCACTGGGAGGATCCTCCGCATGCACTTTGCCGTCAACCTCACCGAGTACCCGGGGCTCGGCGTGTCGTGGGACAACGAGGCGCCCCCCGTCTACCAGGACGTCCCGCCCAGCCCGCCGGCCTACCCTGCCGAGCCGCCCATCGAGTACGACGACCTGGAGGAGCTGGATGCCCAGAGGACAGGGTCTACGCCGGGCTCCAGGAGACATAGCGAGTCTGGGAGGTCCACGTAGCCCCTTTTTATTTATTTCCCTTCTTTCGAGTGTGTGTATATATCTTTAGCGTTGTTTTCTCTGGAGCGTTGAACAGCATTATACCCCTGTTTGGGACAGCGTTGGGTACCACTAGGTTTAGTCTAGATCAAAATTAAGACGTCATAATGTATTTCAAACACGATGATGTTGCCGTTCCTGGTGATTTGGTGTACATGATTCTTTGCACTCGTGATGCAGACGGCACCGGCGTTCTGTTCTGCATCGAGTATTTGCTGGCAGGCACATGAATGTGTACATACTACACGGCTCAATTGGAGACATGGCCCTACACTAGGTTGCATGCCGTACCGCGCTTTATTTATTTTCGCATAGGCGCTTGGTTGAAGCTTAAACGGACCGTAGTATACATGGCTTCGTGCCTTTATTTATGATCCTCATTGTTTAAAGCTGAACTGCATTATACATAGCATCGCGTTCTTGTTCCCTGTCTATTTTGGACCCCCGTCCGATAGAGTAGACTGAATCAAACACATTGTGGCCTCCGTCGCGGAAAACGAGCGCACGCCACGTATTATATGTGCTTTGCCCCCTTATATATTGTGTAACAACACCCAAGGCGCAGGACCTCCCCCCCCCGGAAAAAGAAAGAAATAGAAAAGACACCATATCCCTCCTAGGCATACCTGATGACAAACGGCTGCGTCGCACTCTCATCCCAGGCCGTGGCGTCCTTCTCGTCGCCGTACAGCCTCAGCATCCTGACTATTATCATGTACGTTCCCTCCCGCACGTACATGCCGTCGTTAAGCCGGCCGTCCCAGATGAGCGAGTCCCTCGCGCGGGAGACATACTGGACCGGCGAACCCTTGATCTGGCCGATGAGCGTCAGGGTGCCCCTCTTGGAGACGCGCGCGACGCGGAGCTGCAACAGGCGGCTGCCCAGGTGGGGGGCGTAGACGATGACGGGCAGTGCCGCATTGTTGGTCGAGCCGGGCCGCGGGATGCTGAAGACGGCGTTGGCAGCCACGGGCCTCCTGTATTTGTCGTTAGTCCCGGCGATGTATGTCGTGCCCGGGCTGAGGACGGTGTGGTTGCGGAGCGAGCCGGCGAGGCCCTGGTACGGGAGCGAGAGGGACGTGCCGTCTGTGCCGTTGACCCGCACGTACCCGGACCATACGGGGAGGAGGGAAGCGTCCAGGGTCTTTGGGGGCGTGGCGAGCACCTCGACGGTGGCTGTTTCGCCCTTTGCGAGGGTGACTTTGGATTCGCTGAAGCGTATGGCAGCCGAGTCGGTGTAGAACTCGCCGGGGAAGACGGTGACGGATTTGGCGTTTGGCTTCAATGCTGCCGCGGTCAGGGTGGGCACATAGGAGATTTCATAGGTGACTTTGCTGTCACCCTGGTTGGTGAGTGTGAAGTTCTTGCTAGGGGCAAAGTACGTCGTCTCGTTAAAGGAGAGGCTCGAGGGCTCGAGGAGCGTCGTGGCAAAGGCGGCATCGTGCGCTTGGATGAGACCGGCGCCTTGCTGGGCAACAGGCGCGAGCCTGTCGTAAAAGAGGGCGCCGTCGTTGAACACCTGCGGCTTGGAATTGGCGGACAGCAGCTTTTGGAGCAGCACAGGGTCCCTCGTGCCGCGAACCTCCACGAGCAGGGCGTATATGGCGGCTGTGAGGGGGCAGGCCATTGAGGTGCCGCTGATAACGGCATAACTGCCCTTTGCCCGGGGGTACGTGGACAGAATATGCCCGCCGGGGACACCAAACTGAGGCTTGACGTCCATTGTCCACGTCGGGCCCCAGCTGCTAAAGGCACTGACGGCGCCTCCAGAGGCGGTATTGTTGAGGTCCTTGACGATGCGTTTCGTGTCTAGTCTTGAGCCGAGGGCCACGGTGACCTTGCTGCCTGCATCAAGCTGTTGGACCCAATCCTTGCCCGTTTTCTTGTCAACAAAGCCGACCCCTTTGACGCTTCCGGGGATATCTTTCTTGACATTCAGTTGCGTGGGATGGGCGTCGACTGAGTTGTAGAACAGGACATACTGGGCTCCTTTGGCGGCGGCATTGGAGATCTTTTCTGCAAAGCTACAGGTGCCTCGGCGGATAAGGACTATGTATTTGCTTAAATCAGGCGTGTCATCAGGCAGACTGGAACACAAATCCGCGGCCACCGATGTGTTGAAGGTATCGACCCAGAGAGGCAGGGTGATGTCGAACTTGTCGGGGTTTCCGAGCACGTAGGGAAACTCTTGAGGCTTGTCGGCGCCCACAGTGACATTGCCGTAGTATACCAACGTAGGCATGTGCATATTGTCATACGAGGCAATGGCTGCCACACCTTCACCGGAAGAGCCCGAGCTTGCGTAGAAGATGCCTCGGCTGCCTTCATTGCCCGCAGAAATGGTGACAATGACACCCTTGGCTACGATGCGGCTGGCCGTGACGGCCCACGCGTTTTGCTTCCAGCCGTTTGGGCCTCCAATGGACATTGTGATGATGTCGGCGTCGTCCAGATAGGCTCGGTTGATTGCTGCAATGATGACATCAGACGAGACGGCGCCGGCACAGCCAAAAACGCGGTAGGCGCCGAGAGTTACCCCTGGCGCACCGCCGGTGAAGCCGAATTTCTCGTCGGTCGCGGCAATGATGCCGGCAACGTGGGAACCGTGTCCTTGGCAGTCCATAGGGTCGTCGTCTGGTATCGGTGCATTTTTCCCGTCGAAATTGTCGCCAACAAGGTCGAACCCCTTCGTGACCAAGCATCCTTTTCCAAAACATCCCCCCAGACTGGGGTGCTTGTAGTCAATCTGGAGGTATTGAGTTAGCATGATGCAACATGCCAAAGCGGCATTGTCTTAAAAGCTGCAAAGGGGCACTTTGGAAGATCCGACTGTTGCCGGCAACAACAGTAAAACTTACACCAGTGTCAATAATAGCAACATGGACACCCTTGCCGGTGTATCCCTTGGCGTGCAGCTTGTCGATTTGAGTCATGAAATGAGGCGAAAAGTTGTTTGTCACCGTTGAGTTGTCTCGAGCCTGGAGGATCTTCTCCCTGTCAGGATTTCCCGCCCAGTGAACTTGGGCATCGGGAACATTATGCAAGGTAACAGGCCACCACCTCTTGATGCTAGGCAGAGCAGCCAACTCGTCCACGAGTTTATTGGCTTTCTCGAGGTCATGCAGCTGGACCGATATGCCTCTGAACAGCTCAAAGTCGAGATCCATTCTAACGTCGCCATTTTTGCGAACAGTGTCCAAAGCTGGAGCTGTATCCTGTGGCATCCCCCTGTTAGAACTGGATTTTCATTTTCCCATCACTGAAGCAAGTAATTAATCGGCTTGTTCAACATACCTGGTCGTCTTCGAACTCAAAAATGAATGCGCCAGGAACAACCTTGGCAGAGACAATTACACCGAAGGCCGCTGCCAGCAATGGCACGGCTGTCCGAAGCCTGACCATGTTGTTAATGGACCTCTTTTCAGTAGCAGGACAGATGGATCAAATCAGACGAGTGCAGAATATGGAACAAAAAGAAGGATTCGCACATGGGACTGGCAAGATAGCTATACTAGTGTATCCATTGTCATCGTGCGCGAGCATTCACATTAGCTGCTGTCCATGCAGCTAGGCAAAAGTGCGCCACGGACGCGGCATGCATCTAGCAGTTTACTTCACACTATCATGTCGCACAAGGAGAGACCATGAACGAAACCGGCATCGATGACCCTAACAACGACATTAAGGTACGAACAGCGGCCTGTTGCTTGGCCGGAGCAAACCATCTCGTGGACAGCTCGCCGAGCGGTTTACCTCCTGAGAAAAATCCAACCAATCACAAAAGCCAAGGATTGGAACAAGTTCAATAGGCTGGAAATATGAATTGAATCCCCATGACGTGGCGCTGGTAGGTTCAGCGCCGACTGACGAGCCGTGGACCCCGAAATAAGCTTCTTCTCCATTTGGGGCAGACGGCAGAAGTCTAAAGCGGACAAGCTCGAAGCCAAGCCGAATCTTCATTTAAGTCGTGCCTGACTACATGTTAGCGGCCTCATGTTATTAGGGCGAGTTAGATATTGTACAGGAGCTAGCGACTAGGTATGGAGGCTTACATCAGCCGATCTGGACAGGCACGCGGTCTGAAAACGTTCATTGTCTCGCGGGTTGACCAACACGTCAAGGAGCGCTTGGTTCTTGTGTCATTCGCAACTGTTCGATACCCGCCTGCCCGTAAAATGACGAAATACCGTTTGCGTGATGTAAGACATGTTCGACTGCTTATCGGGGGTTCGACGCGCTTAGGACGGATACGAAGGCGTTATGTCGGACGAGGGTTCATTGTTTTTGGGTCTGCCAGTTTAGCTGGCCAGATTGCAGTACAGTCAAAAGACTTTGGAACCGCACAAGTGCAATGTATAATATCCAAGGCGGGGTTTCCTTGGAACCAGGCCGTGAAACATTTGCGGGCAGGGGCCAACAATCGCTCCTTCCCTGCTTTATAAACAAACACGACGGATGACAAGTGGCGGGACCAACAAGGCAACCATTGTGGCCGTCGATTCATGTTTTCATTTCTGCAGCGTGGAAAGTAATCTCGGGCTGGGCGTCTATCTTTCAGCCATCCAGCGAATTCCGGCATCGCGGTCCCAATGTCCAATTTCAGCAGCGGCTGCATGGCTGCAACCTGCGCTCCAATGCTTCAATAGTCACCCGTTTTACCGCCCGCCAAGACCATTGCGTGTGCACCCGTAGCAATGAGTTGTTACCTAAAAGGATGACTTTCTCGCTAAGCATAACCAATGCGAACCCAGGGTGGTTTCTAGGAACGGCTGAGTGTGATGGGGCAGACATTGATCTACGCCGAGATGAGTCACTCGCCGAAGCTGGCTCTTGAGAACGCGGCTGCCCCCTTTTCTTGGACTGTTTCGGAATACAAGTATATAAACAGCCCTCGAAACAGGCCATCGGAGGGAGTTTCTGACTATGCTCAGGCGCAAGGCGGGAGCCCATCGTATGAAGATGAAGATGGCACGATGAGCCTCCGAACCCGCGCCTGACCGTCCGACTGAAGGTTTCACGCAAAGATGGCCAGCTGTCAGTGGCGCAACCCTAAGTCTCAAACCTCGTCCTCACGGAAACGATCAACATTGCTACCTGCACGTGATCACCAGACCAACAGATGGAGGGAAGCGGACTCTGAACCCCAAACTTTTTCCACTTTTTTGAAGTTTCGATATCCCCAACTCTGTTGTGACACGGCGCACAGAGTGGGACGTGCCATGTAACATTCGGCACATTCAGCAACAGTGCTTCCCTATCGCGCTACGTGTGTTGACAATTCAATTGTGATATAAATTGGTAAGTTGGCTTCGCCGTCTTTTGTTTCTCGCCTTGTCCTGCTCCCCTGATGAACGGATTTCACTCGCCGTACCGAACTTGTCATGTGGATTTTTTCCTACGGGCAATTGGTTTCGCCTGTTTCTGATTTCAGCGGGCAATTGTTTCTCTCTCGTCTTTGCTTACCACGGGTTTCACTTACGGTGTGCTAACGGCCGTTTCAGGGTTCAGCTGTGAAGATATCCAGACCCCCGCGTGCTCCGTAAATCGATTCCATTGCCACTTCAAGGAGACTTGTTCGCTACATGTAGTCTTTTTATTCAGTTCGAGGCCAACCCCGCCAACGTGTTTAGCCCGGTGCTAGATAGTGCATGCCATTAATACAAAGTGCATTAACGAATTTTGTCTTGTCCCTACCGACATTGCCGTGTAGTTTCCTGGCAAATTCTGCCAACTTTCCAAGTGTGGCCATTCTCATATGAGAAGTGCACATATTCCCATTGCCGTCATGCCATCCTGCCACGTCCACACCAAGCCCGACTCCCTCTGATGCTGCCAACATCGTCGTAAAACATTGAGAACTGTTCCGCAGTTTGTAAACTCGGACCCCGACGTATCCAATACATCTATCATGGCCCTTTCGAAGAAGCTCTGCTGATCACTTGCCGCTACGGCTCCGACAGTCGCCACTGGCCAGACCAGGCCTCGAAATGTGACGCCAGCAGGAAGGCCCTCCATTGCCTCAATCGCCCCGGCCACGCGGGTGTAGAGTCTCATCCCAGGAGATGGGGCATTTCGCAATGTTTCTATCTGGCACAAGGCCGCAGTCGCAAACACCATTGTAATCGCGTAAACCAACGCTTGTCGATCATCCTGTTGACGCGTCGTCAGCCATGTCAATGAAACCCACACCGGGAGCTTGAAAACGAACCCCTCCCAGCTTCATCCTCTCGATGCCCTCATCAAGAATCTGCTCAAGAGCCTTGAGCTGCAATTCATCCGACTTTGAGAAGCCCGACCTGGTTTTCCGTGAAGAAATTGTGGATATATCCCCGACTGCCTGCATCACCCAGTTTCGACACCCCATCAGCCTCGACATGTCAATCTGGTCCAGTTGCAGCCATTTCTGATACCTTGTTTGCGGTGCCTTTCCCGTCGCCGTGGAGGCGAGAATATCAAGCCAGAGAACTTTTGTGACAAGAAACGGCTGCGCCTTGTCCACGCCATCTCCCGACTCCCGGGTGCCTGTCGAAGGGTGCGGCACGAGGATTTTGTTCACAACGGACGCGAGGGCGTCCAGGTGCGGCCGCCAGTTGTCAAGGCCTCCTCGAAATAGCTGCGCCTATTAGTCTTGTCGTGGAAAGAAACCCACCCTTGACGGGGACTTACCTCAAAGCTGATGAGTGCCGAACCGCATGCCAAAAACTCAACCATTTGCTGCCGGCTCTCTGCAAACTTGTCCATGTCACACTCCTGAAGGACTTGTCGTAGCCGCTTCAGGGCATTGGTGTGATACCCTATGAGTTCTGATTCTCGGTTTCCGGGAGCACCCGCGCTTTGTGTATGGTGGTGAAGCGCCGAGAGGGTGAGCACGGCTTGGTGCAGCGGGCCGCGCTTCATGAGAAGCCAGAAGAGCCAGCCTCTGCCGCCGAGCGAGGGCTCGTCCTTGTAGTATGGATACTGGAGGGGGAAGATATAATCCAGGTAGTGGACCAGGAGCTGTGCTTCTCGAAATGCCATGTCGGGCGTTGTCGGCGCACCAGGCGGTGCCGGGTAGCCGTCTTCTTCCCCCTGTCTTGGATCATTCTGATGTTCGGATGGACGAGCTGGAGAGGCCTTGCAGGCTTGCAGCTTTTTCTTCCGGCGCAAGTTAGAATTGACAGTCTTCTTGATTCGCGAAAGCTCGGCCTGCAACTTCCATTCATCGTCTATCCATTTTGGCTTGGGGCCGTAACCGTGGCAGGTAATGCTGCGATCGGCACACTCTCGGCAGATGGGGTGTTTCTCGTCGCATTTTCTGTGCCGGATGCGGCAGGTCCAGCAGCCGTCGTTGCTGCGATTCATGGGCGTAATTGGGGCACAGATGTCATTCTTCACATTGCGGCGGGACGCAGAGACCGAGCATGCCGCCAATGTGGCATGAAGAGATCAATTACCGGAATTGATATGCGGTGACTGGACAAAGTGTCTGGTGGGCATTTGAGATGGAGAATGACGAGACGCAGAAGGTGGGGCGACATGCTTGACAAGTTAGCAGCTTGAGTTATGCTAGGGCTATTCGGGGTCACTCCATCTCATACAAATTTTTAAGAGACTCATTTGCTAGTACTAACGTTTACAATAATAGACTACTCTATGTAATTCAGCCCAGTCGCCTCACGACGTGTCAGGTAGTTTCTACTCATTGGTGCCCCCAACTGGCGCACTCTAAATGTAGACCAACACCTATCTAGGTACTTCTATGAGCAAAGTCAAACCAAATCCGGCACTTGAGGAGTATTCAAACAGAGCATCCCTTCAAACCTCAGAAAATCAGAAACCAGTCCGCTGAAACCATAACGCCAAGGGGGTATATCTATTACCAAGACAGGAGACCGCGACGCCAGATAAATCACAACTTGCAGCAACAATAGAGTCACAGCGGCAACTTGGCCCCAACGTGCTTATTCCAAGCAAGCACACTATCAATCAACTTCTTTCCCGGGAAATCGAATATCACGATGCCAGTCCTCATCGACGTCTTATCATCAATATGTGCATCCAGCCATTCGCCTGTCCTGTAATTCATTCCGACCTGCGCCTTATTCAGGACCCCAGCGGCCGCCTGGATGGGCAGCACGCCAATCGCAGCCGAATTATGCGTCACATAAAGGCGGTCATTTTTCAAGGGGCCCTGGTTCGCTCTATTCAACGCCATGTCGACAGCGGCCCATTTGGTGGCCAGACGACGTTCGCCCTGGATGGCAAAGTTGTCTTCGAGCACCATTTGCGGACCGTCCCAGGTCAGCCCATAGGTCACCCCCTTTGCGCATTTAAAATCCTGGAGAATGAATATCTTGGAGCGCAGTTGGCCGAGCGTTGGGATGGGTTTGCGGCTATCCGCGTACAAGGCGACGTGTTTTTTGGCGCCGTCCTTGGTGTCCTTGTCTTGGAGACGTGCGTAGTTCAAGGCCGCTTCGAAGGAATACGAATCGCGGCCGACCGGGGCTCCTTCTTTCTTGAGACGCATGATGATCATTTCCGAGGGGTGCTTGTCCAAAAACTCAAACATCTGCAGCAGGACCTGCTTGAATGTGAAGCCGGTGTTTTGCTTCCCGTGGTATATGTGCAGGCGGTTCTCCTTGACCCGGGCGCGTATGTCAAAGTACCGCAGTCCGGCCTCCATCTGCACCGTCAGATTCCAGTTCTGGCACTGCAGCACTCGGCTGTCAAGGTTGTATGTCATGGTGTCATGGGTGCCCGGGATGCTCAGACTGGTGATGTTGGCCGCGTCGGGGACACGGGCCATCCAGTCGGGCTGGTGAGAAAGATTGGCATCGAAGCTGTACGCGCTGGTGTAGCCATGGTAGGTGGATGCGCGGGCGGTGCAAGCCGACGCCAGAAACAAGACAAGACCGAAGAGAAGCATGGCGAGCAACGCTGAAGAAGCAGACGAGCAGCGCGAGGGCTGCGAGCGAGAGTCTCAACGAAGCAGAGTTGTGTCTGGCATTTTGGGGCAGTTGAGAGGGGAGGTTGATCTCGTGGTGACGGGGGCTGTGCCTGAAATAGCGTCTAGCTCGGATTGATGCTCGTACCGTGCCGCCCCACCCCCGGACAAACGAGGACTAGTGTTGTCGAGATTTACCCAAGCTGATAGGCTATTGAGTCCGCCTTCAGGCAACATTGAATGCTTCATCCGTCTAGACGAACGCAGCGTGCGCCACTCAATGCTTCGGCATGCCGTTGCCGGTGCCGACATTCCGGCACCCAGGATTGGTCAACCCATTTCATGTTTCAATGACAAAACGGGTACTCATGAGCGCTTGGATCGACTTGGTAGCGGCTAAACGGCTGTTTGCTCCCCATGGCGTCGTATCTTGATACCGCCCTCACATTTAAGTCTTTGACTCTTCTTGAACCAAACTGGTCCGTTTCTTATCCAGGTAGAAATTCTATATTCCACGATGACGCAGTTGGTCGGATGAGACGACCTAGATGCCCCAGTCATCTAGGTCGGGTTACATATGCTAAATTATCATGTATATGTACGAGTCGTAGGTTGTGGTCTTATACCAAGCACCAAGACCCGGTGCAGCAATTGCTCATACAAACGCAATCACTTCAAGGAACAAAAATCAAAGAACTCATGCTTTTCGTTCTCGCTGTTGGGACGTATATTCTCAGAGGGGGGAGACGTGACTAGGATAATGCACCGCATTCGGAATTTCAGACCCCCATGAGCTCATGCGCCTTAGCATCCCGGAATCAGCTTGCGTTGATCTTGCAAAAAATTCTTAGATAGTTTGCTTAGCAATTAGTGGATAGAAAATACAAACACGCATCTTTGACAAAACGTTTTCAGAAGTAAAAGATGAAAGGGGCCCCAATTCGAAAATATGATTACACAGAATGCTTGAGCCTTGGATAGCTGATATTCCTTTTCCATCAGTGCGTGACACCACCGCTTACAGAAATATTTTGCCCAGTGATCCACCTGGCCTTCTCGTTAACGAGAAGAAGCACGGCGTCGCCGATATCCGCGGGTGTGCCGGCCCTGTCAGCAGCTTTCGTCATGTCAATCTGCGGCTGCATGATAGCATCCATTTGTTCTTTGGGTATTATGTCAGTGAGGACTGGGCCGGGAGCTACCGAGTTGACGGTGATGCCTTTGCTCCTGCCAAGCTAGTTGCGGGAAAAATGGTCAGCTACTACGAGACTTCAAAATCGTCAGACGTTTTGCGTCATGAACAGGCGTACCTCTCCGGCCCACGACACAGTCAGATTATCTAGGGCCGCCTTGCTCGCAGAATACGTTGACAACAACTCGTGGCCGAGCTTGGCGTTTGTAGACGAGACGTTGATAATCCGACCGCCGGGCGGCATGTGAGGAACCACGGCGTGAGCCATGTACAATGGCCCGTTGACGTTGATCTGGTAGACCCTATCCGTTTCAGCCTGGTTGATCTCATTCAGGATCCGGCTCGCATAGCCGACTCCGGCATTGTTCACTTGAGGCAAGGAGCGGAGGTTGGGTCAGCTTTGGTCAAAGGTCAAGTTTGTTATGCCACGCAACATGTTCGTCGACGACACTAGAGCCAGTGGAGTAGAGAGGCGTATGTGAGAAGTTCATGTGCTTACCCAGGATGTCGATATGGTCGGTCTGGAAACCCTCGAGCGTCTTTTGGACAATGTATTTAGCCCCTTCCAAGGTGTCGACCGAGGTCTGGACGACAATGGCTTTGCCCCCGGCCTGCCTCAGCATCTGCGCTACGTTGGCAGCTCGATCAGCAGACGAGTCTGATAGATGATTGACAACTACGGACGCCCCGTTGCGGGCCAGGGCCAGGGCGATGCCAGCCCCGATGCCGTTCTCCCGTCCGGAGCCAGTAACAATGGCAACCTTGCCCTCGAGGGATAGAGTGTCAACGGCCATATCCACTAGCTATAGTGTACCGCTTGAAAGCGAGTTCGATAATGAAATATTGATGATGGAATATGGAAGAACAAGATGAGGATTGTTTGAGATATCTATTGAGAATGAACGAGGGTCGTCGCCCGCTTTATACTCAGGCCTCCCTGGAGAAGACCTGGGCTGACAGTAAGACATGCCCATGTTTTCCACCCTACCAGGGGAATGAGTTCTGCTCATGGTAAAATGAGGCGGCGCGTGACAGAAGGGCAGGATATTCCTTGGGCTTACAAATTCACCCCAAACAGCAACACCCACAACCGACAGAGGTTCCTTATTTGGAAAATTATATTACCTAACTCCGGTTCCAGAAGTGGGGATTCGAGAGATGACAGCACACCACAAATTATTCATCCGGCATGCGCGGCCCCGGACGGGCTCCGGAGCTTCCGTAGCCCAAAAGGTGGACTACACTTGACCCTTGCCATTGACCCGTTACAATATTCAGCAACCACGCTCCAGATCCCCTCGAGAAAGCAACGACCAGGCTCTCTGTGACGAGGGCTGATAAAAAGTTGGGGAATACCGAGCTTCACTTCATGCTACTAAAGTACTTTGGTATCAAAGGTCCCCGGTCTTCTCAAGGCCCTCGAGGACAGAGACGTCTTATTTATATAAGATAGTGGTGAGACAATCTTGAGCCCTTGTCTGACTATTGTCAGGTCCAAGGGAAGGCCCGTGCCGTGATGTTGTGTGACTTTCGTGACACTCTCGCACAAAAACTAACAATCATTAAAGTAGCACAACAAGACGTGCTACCCTGAGAGTTTTATCGAATTCACAGAGTAAAATATCGACTTTGTAACGTTATTGGAGTAAACCCACTACTAGGAGAATATATCTACCTCTTTAAATTATAATTTACATATATGTATTGCCTGTGGCCTGGCTAGATATCCAGCTTCACAAAAAGGACTTGAATCGCATAAACTATACACCTGGCGGAGAGAATTTACTGTCTTTTATTATTTCCAAGGTAATTAAGCTATTTCTCCATAAAAATAGCTTTCTAGCCCATTCGACCCCGTTATTAAATTCTTTAAACCTTCAAAAGAGTAGTATGAGACTTTTTATCGAGCGTACCAGCAGTGGTGCTTGCTCTGTCTGTATAGTCTCTTGCGCATGATTTCACTTGTCGCCGTTATGTCGTTATGTCAGTAAAGCCCTGTTTTGGAGCACATAAAAGCAGTAGTTTTATTGTTCGTCGTGAAGGGCGACTTTTCCTTTTATGCATTGCTCTTTTGCATTCTTGATGTATTGGCAGAGTTTGAACCGGGCACCCTTGCCAGCACAGACTTGTATCATGTCAACACATCTGAGGAATCCCTAAACAGTTCCCTGTTTCCTCGACTCGGGCTGTGCAGCGGCTGTAGCTTGATCTGTCCCAAACGGCCCCTAGACAATCTCTCTCACATATCCAAATAAACGTCTCACCTACTCCGGTCCGGGCCCTGCCCATGTCTCAGCAAGGTTACCTCTTATGCTAGACACATCACGGAGAAGAAGCACTAATGCACGAGGCGTCGAGCTAAATAAGTCACAGAAGCACCGCCGCATCTGGTATTGTGGCAAGGGTACAATAGTAGGCTTGGGGCAATAGTTCAATTCATCTAATAACAGTCCTCGGTATCAAAGGTCCTTGGTTTTCTTACAATCTACTTGCGCTGTTCCAACACGCCCTCAAACCAATCCAGCAGTACGTGGTTCTGCAATACACTTGCACCAACAGAACAGTGGTACGCGGCACCATCGACGCTCTCGAAAACATGGTGTGTAGCCAACTTGCCCAGCTTCTCGGCGAGGATCTTGCTCTGCCCGGGAATCACATCATCCTGTTCGGCCTGTGCAACAAACACCGGTGCCGTGATATTGTGCACCACGCTCGCCAGGTTGAAGTCTTCCACCTTGGTCATCCACTCAAATGGCGTCTGGGCATTAAACGACCACAAGCCCTGCTGGATACCCCAGATAGCGGCTGTCTTTGCAGCCGGATCGGCCAGGCCCTGCTCGACGTACTCGTTGAAGAGGGTCGCGTTGCCAGAGCGGAATATCGCCCTCAGACTCTCGGGGTACATGTCCAGATTTGCCGCGCCGTAGTCGTAGACGCCGTCGACGGCGAACACGGCCGCGAGGCGGTGGTCGAACGCGGCTGCTCGCGGCGCTAGATAACCACCGAGTGAGTAGCCCAGGAGGCCGATGGCTCGCGAGTCCACTTCTGGGCGTGTGAGCAGGTAGTCGATGACGGGAGTGACGACCCTTTCCCAGTCCGGGATGAAGCCGAGATTCTGTTCCCGGCGGACCGTCGGCTGCCCAGGCCCTTCGTAGCTAAGTACGTTCATTCCTCGCTCGAGGGCAGCCTGTCCGATGACGTGGTACATTTCCTCCTGGGCGCCGTCATACCCGTTGCCGAGGATAACTGTTGGGCGGGGCCCGGGCATGCCACTGCCGTAGAAGATGGCCGGAATTGTAAAGTTGTCGTTCTTGGCACGGAGGTTCACACGCTGTCCTGGCACGGCAAGAAGGGCAATGGCCGAGTTGAAGGCCGCGAGGTGTCTGTCCCAGAGACTGTAGATGCGCGGGTCGCTCCAATTGCCGTGGAGGAAGAAGTCGGCAGAGCGATAGTACGTTGCGGCCTTGAAGAAGTGTTGGCGGGCAGATATCGGGTTCTTGCGAACGTCGATTGCGCGGGCAGTACTGTCGACACGGGTGGCGAGGTCATTGAATACGTTGTAGAAGCTTTCAAAGTCCTTGGGTTTTATCTTTTGGGCGGCAACGAGGACTTCTCCAACATCAGCGCCTTGGTAGGGTGCTAATGATATGACGCGCAGAAGCTCATAGTGGAAGTCGGGGTCGGCACTGAGTTGCATCATGGCATTTGAGGTCGAGTTTTCTCTTTTCAAGTTTGAATGGAATCCTGGTGCAGCCTGTACAGCAGTTGCCTATGTTTTGAGGTTAGGAACTCGGCGCAAATGCGATGGCTGAGAGGATTAAGCTTACACAGGTGAGGAGAAGTGAAACTTGAGATAGCTTCATATTGCCTCGGGTCGCCTGAGTTATAATGTATATACCAGGAATAAAATTTGGACCCCGCAGTCAATTGCAAAAGAAACCTTCTGCGTCTTGTGAGGATTCCTCTGGTGGTAGACCGTCAATGTGACAAGGGCGCAGTGAGGGCTTGGAGTCGATGACTCAATTCATATAATAACAGTCTTGGGTATCAAAGGTCCTTGGTTTTCCTCAAGGCCTAGTTGACCAAAGAGCTCTATTTATACAAGAAGTGGTGCAAGCCTTCTGCCGTAGGTCTCGCAATCGTAGCCCTCGTGTAACTGCGTGACAATCAACTGCCGGAAATACCGGTAAGCTTGTCTCGATTGAGTCGATAACAATGACATTTTGCTTCACATCACGCAAGGACATAGCCTTCCTCGTTATCGTCTCATCGGCGCCATCGTCACGACTAGTCTGCCGCTGAGCGATCGGCTAGATCCATTTCAAGCAATGCCCGGAATGGCGCTCTCGCTGCTAGGGGACTCTTGCGCAATACGCCTAATATGACTTCAACAGTTCAGAGGCCGACAGGTAGAACATAAGGCAACCTTTGTCGTTCTCGTTCGTAGTTTTGTCGCTGAAGTGATGTAGTATCCCGAAGCGCGGTCTTGTCGGTCCCATTTCTTGCACAGCCTTGAAATGATGGAGCTATCTCGTTGTCGTTTACTAGCTCGGTTTGCTGCAGCCTCTACCGACGGAATAAATGTCGGGCTGCGTGCTAGCGTGATGTTATTTTCCCCCGGATAAATGGCCTTGTCGGAATTGCGTCTTCGATGGATTGGTATGTTTGATGGAACCGATTCCGACGAGATGGGAGAAAAGCGTGCGGATTGATAACCATTTATGCGCTGTGGCGGCTCGACCTTCCTCCCCAGGCGGCGGCTCGACTTTCCTTCCCAGGAAAATCGTCTCCACAAAACACCGCTCGCAATCTTCGCACGACAGTCGTTTGCAAATCGCGAACCTGCCCAACCATCATCTTCCCATTTGCTCAACTGGTCATTGGTCGACAGTATCTGGTATTATACACAATTCCAAGCCCCCATGGCACTTCATGTCCGAAAATCGGTCTTGAGACAATGGCACAGGCGGTGAGCCTCACCCGGCTAGCAAGTGCGGTCCTCTCCGCGCGAAGCATTCGTCGCAATGGCCATCTTCCTGCTCTTACATAGACACAATTTCTCTTCACACGGTCTATTTGCCTTCCTTGAACCCCAGGAGCTTAAGCAAGCAAAGCCAAAATGCATCTACGAAGAGACCACGCAGAAACCAGCACCACCGCCCTCCAGCAATTCATCAAATCCAACCCCTTAGGTGTCCTAACTACATCAATCACATCGCCGACATGCTCATTTCCTACTCTGCAGGCGACGCATATACCATTCCTCCTCGATATCGACGGTGACTTAACGGGCAATAGCCTCGGCCGCCTTAGAGGGCATATGGCGCGGGACAACCCGCAGGCCAAGGCCCTCGTGGAAGTCCTCGCCCAGTCCACCACGCACATCCTCGACCAGGACGTCCTGGTTGTATTCACGTCTCCCATCCAGCACTACATCACTACAAACTTTTACTCCGAGACCATGTCGACGAATAAGCGCACCGCGCCGACATGGAACTACTCTGCCGCTCAGGTGTATGGCCGGGCAAGGATTCACTGGGATTCCAAACTCCCCGAAACTAGCGACTTCTTAATCCAGCAGCTGAGTGACCTGGCTAGAGTCGGGGAGAGGGACATTATGGGCTTCAATGAGGAAAACACCTCGCCGAGGCCGTGGAGAGTGGAGGACGCGCCGCCCAGCTATGTCGAGCGCTCACTCAGGGGTATCATTGGGATAGAAATCGAGATTACTAGGTTGGAGGGAAAGGTGAAGATGAGCCAGGAGTTGAAGGAGGCTGATAGAGACGGAGTCGTAAAAGGTCTTAGGGCTCTGGGGGGCGAAACGGCTACGATGATGGCTGATTTGGTACGTGAGAGGGGATTGATGAAGATTGCGAACAAGGCGTGAAGAGTCGGTGCCAAGCAAACGATGCGTAATTGCTGAACCATGTACGGACAGCTACTTTTGGATGTTCTAGACAAGGTGGATATCCTCGTAATTCTCCTCACTCGCGTGGACACCAGTGTTTTCCCGTTTGAAACTCTTTTGTAGCAAGCTGTGGAAGTCTCGAAGCATCTTAAACGGGGGACATTGGGCTCGGATATGCGGTATACAGGAGCTGCAGACGGATGTCGGTTGTTGATGGGCCAGTTGACTTGACTGGCACCGGGCTGCTTCTAGCCCGGACGCCACAGCGGATACAGTAAACAGTCTGGTAGTCCATCATGCCCTGAATGCGCCGATCACGGCCGACAACGAGCTGCACAATGAAATGCTTAAGTTCCGGTGGATCCTGCACCACTGTTTTGTCAAGCAGTTTCCGGTGACTGGAGTAGCTGGAGTGACTGGCTTAAATAGCTGCCGATGGAACGACGGCGGATACAGTCTCGTGGTCAGGATCGGCCATTTGATTCTTGATTGATAAGAGCGCTGCCGTCGCCAAATAATTGACGTTGGCTGCCTCCTCATCCTACTTCCGCTCATCCCTCATTTAGTATATATTATACGATAGATCTGCTTGCATACTCGGCCTCTGTCAATTCCGGCAGCCGCTTCATTTCAGCAGCATTTCAAAGATGGGAGACTTGGGCACCGATCAAGACCTTACGGTCTTCGTCAATGGCAACATCTACCAGTCACCGACCAACAACGTAGACAACCCAAGCTTTGCCTCGGGTATGGTCGTTCAAAACGGCACCATTCAACACATCGGCTCGGAACACGATGACGCCGTAAGCACCGCCAAACAATCCGGCGCAAACATCCAGGACCTCGGCGGCCAGACGATTCTCCCGGGATTCATTGACGGCCACTTGCACCTCCTCCTCGTGGGACAGTCCCTCACCAAAGTCAGTCTTGACGCATGCAAGAATCTAGAGGATATTCGAACAGAGATCAAAAAGTACGCGCAATCTCACCAAGACGTTTCACGCATTTTTTGTCGAGGATGGATGCATTCCATGACGCCCGAGGGCGTAGATGCCACGCTGTTAGATGACTTAGATCCGCGGCCTATTTTTGTAGATACCAAGGACTTGCATTCTACCTGGTGCAACTCCCTTGGTCTCAAGGAGATTTGCAAAGTCATGGACATCAACGACGACACACCAGATCCAGCGGGGGGGAGTATCCAGCGTGACAAGGACGGCAAACCGAATGGAGTGTTCAATGAAGGTGCCGTCTTTCAGACCATCTGGCCCTTTGTAGCACGGGTGGCGAGCATGGAGGAGAAGAAGGACGCTATCCAGTCCGCTTTCAAGGCGTTCAATGCCGTGGGATACACGGGCATGATCGACATGGCCATGGACGACACCATTTGGGAGCCACTGGTGGCGTTGAGGAACGACACGAATGGCTTGCAAGGCATGCGAGTAGCCGCATACTGGCTCATGAAACCGACTGATTCTCTGGACAGTGTCCTTGCGCAGGTTGATCGTGCTGCCGAGTTGGCGAGACTGTACAATGCTGAAACCACGCCAGACTGTCGCATCGTAGGCGTAAAGGTCATCACGGACGGCATCATCGATGCATGCACCGCGTCTCTGACAGAGCCGTACTGCAACGGCGAGAACCCCGACTCCTTGTGGCCGGAAGACCTCCTTCACCATCTCGTCGCGCGAGCTCACGCCGCAGGATTACAAGTTGCTTTGCACGCCATTGGCGACCGCACAATCCAAATGGCAATCGACGTGCTGGAGAAGAACACGGACAAATCTCGACGTCCTCGCATCGAACATCTCGAGCTAGCGTCCGCCAGAGATGCCGCTCGTCTCGGCAAACTCGGCATCACAGCATCCATTCAGCCCGTTCACTCGGACCCGGCGATCCTGCGCGCCTGGCCACGTCTCATCGGCGACGACCGCTGCAAGCGGGCCTTTGCCTATCGTGAGTTTGCAGATGGCGGAGCTCCTTTGGCGCTGGGATCAGACGCGCCAACCGCTCCTCATGAGCCGTTGCCTAATCTATATGTTGCTACTACGAGGCGCTCGTATCGGGAGCCTGGATTCGACACGGCGGTGAATCCTCATTTTGCACTTACTATGTGTCAGGCTGTTGCTGGTGCCACGCATGGATCCGCCTACTCGAGCTTTGCGGATCAGTGGACGGGGAGCTTGAAGGCTGGGCTGAAGGCGGATTTTGTCGTGTGTGACGTCGATTTGAAGCCAGAGAACGTCGTGAAGGGTGTTGTGAGAGAGACGTGGTTTGAGGGGAAGCAGGTGTATAAGGCCAGTTGAGCTGGCCCCAGGAAGAGCAAAGTATGATTTTGGGGAGCCATGGTGTTGTATACGTGCAAGAGGTTGCTACGTCTAAGTAGATTTCTTGTAAAATGAAATGTTGAGAACTTGCCCACTTTCGTTCGTCGCATGTATGGTGAGGATAAATAACATTGAAATGTCACGCGCGAGGAGGCGTCCGGAAAAACCATTTCCCCACATCGAAAATTACCAGAGCTACACCACCACTGGACTACCTGCTGCCCAGGTCCAGCTCGCGACCACCGACAATCTCCTTGTCGCGGACCTCCCCAACGAACCGAAACTTTTTTCTCACACACAATAAGCCAAAATGACTGGTCGCGGTGGTGGCGGCGGTCGCCGAGTCTTGCTCCCTCCTATGTACGTCCAATCTGGTCTTTGTTCGTCAACAGGCGCATCTGCCCCTGCCCCGCCTTTGGATTGCCGTGGTTTGGAGGCTCAAGAGTGCTAACTTTGCATAGTAACATGATCTTTAAGCTGCTTCAATCCGTGAGTCGCGATCTAAATCTACTCCTTCACGTTTTACCCGAGCCTGGCGACCTGAGATTGATGGCGAACGACTACGGTGGCACTCCATCACGAACCACGAATTCGCATAATAAAATCCATCGCCATCTCTTTCGCGGCGGGGCATCCAGGGGCCTTTTTTCAATCAGAGCCTAAGCTTACGGAGTGCTAACCTTGGATAGAATGCTACTGTTAGTGTTTGGCTGTACGAGCAGCTTTCAATCCGTATCGAGGGAAAGATCCGAGTACGCACACCTTTCAAGCTGAAGTCTGTTCGTTATCATGCTGACTGGCTTTCGCAGGGATTTGACGAATTCATGAACCTTGTCATCGACGATGCCGTGGAAGTCTCTCAAGTTACGAAAACCAACGACAAGGAGACTAGAAGGCAATTGGGTATGAAACCTCAAAACACTTCCACGAACTGCTTCGCAACTAACATTTTTAGGCCAAATCTTGCTCAAGGGGGACAACGTTTCACTGATCCAAAGCTTGTCAAACTAAACGATATCAACGACAGGCTATCGAAAAATCGGCCTGCGCTGTGGAGAGGGGTAAACAAGATGCATGTCACGGGTCAAACGCGTACTACAATTGCAATGATGGAAACTAGAATTGCGGAATCAGAATTCGCAGGTGGTGGCTTCGGGTGGCGTTAATTGTTATTCCTGAACAGGGACTGTTTGGTCGTTATTTTAGGCGCAATGTAACAGCGTTTCAGGACTCTGGTCCGAATTTGCTAGACTCTGTGGGTTGTGTGACGCTTTGGCTGTGAAGGCTACTAGATTTGTGACTCGCAGGGATCTTCCACCGCCTTTTCTGGACACAAGAGTGGCTTTGTTTGGAAACCTCGTTTGACAATGTACTTACTACTAGTATTGATGAAGACTTCATTCCATCACAGCTATTTGATGAACTACGCCCTTTTATTACTGTTTACAATGCCACAAGACAACAGTTTGGGGCCGGCCAGCCACTGGCGGGACCAAAGCGTCCAGCAACCGAAGCACACAATGTTCCCCATATGATAAAAGGGTTTGGGATTGGGCTTCTCATTTGAGCCTGTCATTTAGCTGTTGGTGTAAGGGGAGATCCATCTTTTGGCTATTTAGTTCAAAATAATGCGTTGCGCTGTTCAACGATGACCACTTGCTCAACTCGTGTTCTTGAAAGAGGCTGTCCTATAATGGGTTTACTCCGTAGAAAACCTTGACTAAATCTTATTCGTTCAAAAATTAAGGTCGGTACGTATCTTTGCGGATCATCACGGTCTTGCCTTTTTGGTGTTGAGGACTGTCGGCACCTTCCTGCACTAGCGGCTTGACGTTCTAGCGAGCCTCACATTTCAATCTCACAAAAACATCATCAAGCAGCAAAGCAGGCAAAAGCTCGCCCACCCGGGCCCCGAAGGAGGAAAGAAAAGAAGTTCTGCGAAATTCGATACCTATAGCTAACCTTTTGGCAGCTTCAACCAAGCTGGCTAAAAAGCTTCAAATTCAGCAGCAGCAACCTAGGGGTCCTGGCAGCTTCAAAGGGATCAAATGCAACAATAGCGACAGCCCAACGGTCCTGATTTCAACAGCTTCAAAAGACCCGAGTTCAAAAGCAGCAGCAGGACAACGGACCTTAATTCCCGGTTTCAAGGGGCTCGAGTCCCATAGCAGCGGCAGCCCAGGAGGCCCGGATCCAACAGCTTAAGAGACTAGATAATAGCTTCGAAGGGTTCGGATTAATAGCTATGAAAGCCTCAAATTATGTTGCCACAGGCAAGAGTCTGCTGCAAGTGTCCCCGGACAGCGCAGCTTTGCTTACACCCATGGCAAGGGCTCCGTTTGCATCGGACCTAGTACCTACGCTCCAACATTCATAGCCAGCCAGTTACCAGAGACTCATGACTCATCTTGAGCCCTGTACAACAGTTCCAACCAATGGCTGTGAAACTCGTGCCCAACCTGAGATGGTATCCAGTGGTTCGTGCGCGCGGAACAACAAGTTCTGTCGACCAAGTTGTCAAACGGACATCCCCTCCTTTCCTGCAACTGGATAGAAAAGAGGCGTCAGACTCCGTCATGAGATTGCAGTTTCCTGGTCTCTCATTTGTTTACCCGAACTGTCAACATCCACCCTACCCGCGAAGTTGTCCTTCACGAAGACTCAAGAGGAGTTAGCGTGACGAGCGTCTAACCAACATAGACCTCCTAAATTGATTTTCTCGGACCCATCTTCTCAGCAATTCTTGATCATGGCATATGAAACTCATATCCTGGCCAAACAACAGCTTGTTGATGAGGTGCCCAAGCGCTTCAAAGGCATCAAGTTCGGCATACAGTGAGGACCCCCAGCTCTTGAGCTATCGTCTCAGATCTTGTACTGACTGCCTGACCACTACTGAAAAAGGTCTAACCAAGACCTCACAAATCAAGCTGTTGTTGAGGTCTCAAACAGGTTGCTTTACGATATTCAGAATGGTCGCGCTCCTTATGCACATGGTCCACTCGATCCTCGGCTGGTGAGAACATTGCTCAATAACCGATGGCAAGGAAAATTCTGTCAATTAACGTGAGGAATACTACAGGGAACTTCAAACAAGTTCGGAAAATGCTCTACATGTCACGAGACTCTAAAGAATTGCAATGGGCATTTTGGCTATGTTAATCTACCGCTGCCAGCGTTTCATATCGGATACTTGAGGTTTATTGTGACCATTTTGCAAAACATTTGCAAAGTATGTCCTCTCCACTGAGACAACGCTGTACATTTCTAATAGGCACTTCCAGACCTGTAGTCATGTGTTACTTCAAGACAATGATCGACAAACCTTTCTCAAAGAACTACGACGCCCTCATCTCGATAACCTTCGCCGAAGCCAGATTTGCAAGAGGATAAACGAGCACTGCCGCAAGGTCAAGAGTTGTCCTCATTGTACCTCCATCAACGGACAGGTTCGTAAAATCGGCGTGCTTAAACTTACACATGACAAGTTCTCGTCCTACAATAAGTCCACTTCTGTGAAAAAGGTACCACCGGTAGCCAAGACCCAATTTGACGAATCGTTTGCCACGGCTCGTAACGGCAACCCGGAACTTTCTAAGCATTTACATAAAGCTGTAGAAGACCTTAATCCACTTAGGGTGCTTGGGCTCTTTCAGCGTATTGGGTCGGTCGATTGTGAACTGCTCGGATTAAACCCTTCAGAGGGCCGGCCTGAGATGTTTATCTGGCAGTATCTCCCAGCTCCTCCTGTCTGCATAAGGCCCTCCATCGCCCAAGACAATGCCAGCAACGAGGATGACCTGACTACAAAGCTAGCTGATATTATATGGGTTAGTGGCATGATTCGGTCCGCATTACAAAAGGGTTCCCCAATTCAGACTATTATGGAGCAGTGGGAATACTTGCAAACCCAAGTCGCTATATATATTAATAGCGATGTCCCCGGTTTACAACAACCTGGATTTGGGAAGCCAATCAGGGGGATTTGTCAACGTCTAAAGGGTAAGCAAGGGCGATTCCGTGGAAATCTCTCCGGCAAACGTGTTGACTTTTCTGGTCGAACCGTCATCTCGCCCGACCCCAATCTTGGCATTGATGAAGTGGCGGTGCCTCAACTAGTTGCCAAGAACCTTACATACCCGGAAAGGGCACAGCGGCAAAATATCGAGAAACTGCGGCGGTGCATCAGAAATGGTCCGAACGTCTGGCCCGGTGCCCAATGCGTTCTGAAAATGAGAGAGGGGGGGTACAAGATATCTCTCAAATTCGCTGATACTGAGCTAATCGCCAATAAGCTATGCATCGGAGATGTTGTCGAGCGTCACATTGAGGATGGCGACATCGTTTTGTTTAACCGGCAGCCATCACTACACAAGCTGAGCATTATGAGTCATTTCGTCAAGGTCCGACCTTGGAGAACGTTCCGACTTAACGAATGCGTTTGCAATCCATATAACGCCGATTTTGACGGCGACGAGATGAATCTGCATGTCCCACAAACAGAAGAAGCGCGTACTGAAGCGATGAGTCTTATGGGGGTTAAGCATAACCTAATCACTCCAAAAAGTGGTGAGCCTATTATTGCTGCTACTCAGGACTTTATTACCGCCGCGTATCTACTTAGTTATAAGGACCGCTTCTTTGACCGGAAGACATTTACGACAATTTGCATACACATGTTGGACGGAGGGACTCAGCTAGACCTTCCGCCACCAGCAATTATCGTGCCAAAGACGTTATGGACCGGCAAGCAGATATTCAACGTCTTAATGCGGCCTAACAATCGATCACCAGTTATGGTCAATCTCGATGCTAGATGCAAAAGTTTTGTGACCCGGCCAGGCCAGTGTCCCGACATGGACCCTAATGACGGCTGGCTCGTGGTACGGAATTCTCAAGTAATGTGTGGCCAAATGGATAAGTCCACCGTGGGTTCTGGGAAAAAAGACAGCATCTTTTATGTCATTCTCCGAGACTATGGTCCAGACGAGGCTGTTAGTGCTATGAATCGCCTGGCGAAGCTGTGCGCACGGTATCTAACAAACCGAGGGTTTTCCATCGGCGTCGGCGATGTGTACCCAACCGCGAGCCTCAGGAAAGAAATCGACCATCTAGTCTCGACTGCATATAGGAAATGCGACAATATAATTGCCACATTTCAGACCGGTAGTCTAGAGAAGGCTCCTGGGTGTGACAAGGAACAAACCTTGGAGAATTCTATATCCGGTGTCCTTAGCAAAGTCCGACAACAGGCCGGTGAGCATTGCATCAACACGCTAAGCCGCCATAACGCGCCATTAATCATGGCCAAGTCAGGGTCTAAGGGCTCTGATATCAATGTGGCTCAGATGGTTTCTCTTGTTGGCCAACAGATTATAGGCGGCCAACGCGTACCTGACGGCTTCCAGGATCGAAGCCTACCACACTTTCATAAGAATGCTCGTCAGCCTCCCTCAAAGGGATTTGTGAAAAACAGCTTCTATTCCGGGCTTCTGCCTACTGAATTTTTATTTCACGCCATCTCGGGCCGCGAGGGACTAGTTGACACGGCGGTGAAAACCGCAGAGACGGGATACATGTCACGGAGGCTCATGAAGTCTCTAGAAGATCTCTCGGTTAAATATGATAATACCGTTCGCACATCCGGCGGCAATATTGTACAGTTTCAGTTTGGCGCGGATAACCTTGATCCCGCGGATATGGAGGGCGCCGGTACACCAGTCCAATTCCACCGGACCTGGACTCACGCTGAAAGTCTCACTCGAGATGATGACGAACCTTCATTGATACCGCACGAGATTGGTATAATATGCGATTCTATGCTAGAATCATATCGCAGCCGCTATGTACGTAAAGGTCTGCTGCATAATGAAGAATTAGATTATGAAGACGACAGTGACTACGGCATTGACGAGCATGAAAGCGGGCGAAAATTCCTCAAATCAATAAAAAGCTACATCGATGGCTTGGCCTCGAGATTGCGCAAAGTGCGCGAAATAGCCGGTTACCAAGGCAATACACCAAGTAGGGAAACGGCTCAAGATCACGTCGATAGAACGGCAAAAGTGGCGGCGACAACCCTCAGGCTCTTCATCAGACTTTGCCTGGACAAGTTTACCAAGGCTCATGTCGAGCCTGGTCATCCGGTTGGCGCTGTTGGTGCTCAATCGATCGGCGAGCCAGGAACCCAGATGACATTAAAGACGTTTCACTTTGCCGGCGTGGCTGGGATGAGCATTACCCAGGGCGTGCCCCGAATTAATGAGATTATCAATGCGTCGAAAGCTATCAGCACTCCGGTCATCACCTGCCCCCTACTAAATAAGTGGCAGATTGAGGCGGCAAAGGTTGTCAAAGCACGCATTGAGAAGACATACATATCCGATATCCTTTGCTTTATTGAGGTTGAGTGGGGTTCCCAAAGTGGTCATATTGTGATGCAAGTCGATACCGACACGCTTGCAAATATGCAAGCGGGAGTTGGTGTCTTTAACGTGGCACAAGCTATTTGCGAGCAACGAAAGCTGAAGGTCCGGCCGGAGGATATCACCGTTGATAAGGACATTATCTTTGTTCGTATCAGGGAAACCGATGATTTACCATCACGAAGCAAAAACAAGTCGGCGGCAGTTGGGTCCAGAGACATGATGCTCAGGGCCAACTTTCTTCGTCGGACACTTCCGTCCGTGCCCATCTCTGGCTACCCAGACGCAACACGAGCCTTGATCGAGACCACCGAGGAAAACACGTACAGGGTCTTGGTGGAGGGCTATGGCCTTCGGGCGTGCATGGCCACAGAAGGTGTTGTCGGGACGCAGGTCCGGACGAACAGTGTGATGGAATGCGGGCAGGTCCTGGGCATTGAAGCGGCCAGGACGACGATTGCGAATGAAATTGCCGAGGTGATGGGGTATATGGGCATTGATCCGCGGCATATGCAGTTGCTGGCTGACGTGATGACTTACAAGGGCGAGGTTCTTGGCATCACACGGTTTGGCTTGTCGAAAACGAGGGATAGCGTGCTACACTTGGCATCATTTGAGAAAACAGCCGATGATTTGTTTGACGCGGTTGCCGGCATGAAAATGGACCGCATTGAGGGAGTCTCGGAGTCCATTATCTTGGGGCAAACAATGAGTGTTGGAACTGGTGGGCTTGACGTTGTTCGCTACTTGGGTCTTCGGCCAGGCGATCTTTGCGAGAAACCGACCCTTTTTGAGGACTCGTGGAGGGCAGAACAAAGGCGGAGAAGGAACCGTGCGGTTGCTTTGTTGCAAGGTTGAGAAAAAAAAAAGACAAAAAAGAAACATACAACACTGGGGATTCGCCGGTCGTCTCCGACCCGACTACTAATCCAGCGCTCGCTAGGTTGTCGTGGGAGATCAGACGGGGTCCCGAACTTTGCTAGCGGCTGTGGTCGTATGTGTCAGATGGGGCAGTGTATCTGGGTTATAAATCTTTGTCCAAAAACATAGGTTTATGCCATGTGGTGACTTTGCCCCGTGTCTCCCATGTGTTTATAGACAATAGGGATGGACTTTGGGGGGAGTCAGAGCTGTCGGGGTTTCCTTTGGACATATCATTTCACGTTAGGTAATCGAGTTTGTCATACGTATGTGTCTGCTTTTTTATTCCTCTCTCCATTTACGTCGTGATGTTATCCGTCTTGGTCGACATGGTATTGACTGGGCAAACATTGTTCCCGCTCATCGGGATTATTTCCATGGTTTTTCAACACAGTTGAATATTATAGGATGGCAGTCATGCACCACGTCGTAATGTTGACAGCCACATGACATTAGCACAGGCCGGAAATGAGTCTTTCCCGCTTCATTGGGTGTAAATACGGCGATAGCTGCGCGTCACTGGAACGTGGTTCGGCCAGTTGTGAGAGTAACGAGTTGGTCCGGGCCGCAATCCAGGACGGGCAGGAGGCTGCATGGCGGACACGAGTCTGGAGACCCGATATTTTTTGCTTTCCGGTGGTTAGATATTCTTTCGTGTTTGGTATAAAATGTGCCTACACTTGGCAATGCGGAATACACTCACTCACTGGGCCGGGTTCCTTGGCAAGACTCGTCGTAATGAATGAGGACAGAACTCGCGAAGAATAGTAGGAAAACAAGGTTAAATGATATTACATTATAAACCAATGGCGGTTACTTCTTTTGATATGCACCTCCGCTCCATGTTTAGAATCTGACGGATGAAAAAAGTCCGGTTACCTCTACGTAAATGTAAAGGCTTCAGGCTTTCATTAACTTTAAAGCTTTTATATAGTTAGGATTAGGTTAAGGGTCAGTCTGTACCTTTATTACAACGTGACGTCCGTGTAATAATAATACGGTCGTCGGCATCATCGAATGGCCGGGATTAAGCAAAGCAGTAAAACATGAGTTCTCGGCACATCGCCACGGTGCGCTCCTGGGTGTACTTGTAGGAGCCGGGAATCCAGTTCTGGCCGCCGACGTAATGCGTCAATAAGTCGAATACCTGTGTTTCACCTGCAGGCACATGTATTATTCCCAGCTCCAGCGCTTCTCATACGTCATTGCTACTCCTACCTTATAAATGTACATTCTCTACCCTCTGTAAGCCTCATCATCACCGCTTCATGCCACCACGAACATATATGCCAAGATCAATTTTTTTGGGAAAAAGAATCAATGATTCTATGTATGTTTTGACCGAGGTGGTACCTGGAGAGGCGGTGTAGATATATGTGCGCCATGTGATCTGGATGCTTTCTTTTTTTTACAAAGCACGTTTCACCAGATGAATGCATTCAGCCCAAAAGCGATAATCCAAGTGCGGGGTCAACAAAGTGGCTGGCTGTGAAGGCATGTGTGCCCATGGCCGATAGGCTCACTGTGCCGCTGCTTCTCATTCTCATCCTGCGATGTAAACCGTCTGGTGGGAGTCAAGCCGGGCGTACCCCGTGCAAGTATCTGCGGTTGTTGATGTGTTGGAGTAACTGCAGGACAGGTCCGTACATGGCAATCGGGTATAAGTAACCGGTGATGATGCCGGTCAATAGAATATAGTTTCTCTCGACAATCCTCTCGACTTGGACTCCCATCACACGCTTTACGTATTTGACAGGTTCATTGCACCAAAAGCCTCTCACAATGGGCGAAGTAGTTGTCCCCGGGAAAGAAGACGAGGACTATATCCCCCAGCCTACGGAGAAGCAGCAGAAGATCCTATCGACTCCAGACTTTGGCATCGGCGATGCGGTCGACGACAGCCCGGTGAGCGGGTTCCTCAGCGCGTACGGATACTTGGAGTCGCAAGATGCCGACACGGGCAAGGTCGGGGAGAAGACGGTATCCGCGCTCAAGGACTACCAGAAGTTCCACAAGCTCAAGGTGGACGGGAAATTCGGAGAGAAGACGCGGCATCTCATGGCACAGCGGCGGTGTAGCTTCAACGACTGCAGCGTGGCCTCTGAGGTCTATGTCCGCGGAGCCTGGCCTGACCGCACCATACTCTACGCCTTTGGCACTCTGTCGCAGCAAGTGGACAAGAAGAAGTGCATGCAGGCTATCCAATCCGCCATGGCGACGTGGGCAAAGGAGATCCCGGGACTCAAGTTTATCGAGAACGAGGCGCACCGCGACCACGAAGTCAAGATTGAATTTCGCAAGGTGCCCGACACGGACTGCGTCGAAAGCCTGGAGGGCGGGGAGCTCGCGCACGCGTCGCTGCCGCCCGGCTTCGGGACCAAGTTTCCAGGAATGCCCAAGCCGGTGCATTTCGACGAGACAGAGGTCCAGTGGGTATTGGGGAAGCAGAAGGGCAAGTATGATGTCGAGTCGGTTGCACTGCATGAGATTGGCCACCTCCTCGGCATGCTGCACAACGGCAACCAAGAATCCATCATGTATCCGCGGGTCAGCGACAATAAGCTCGCGAGAAAGCTATCGGAGCATGACAAGACTGGGATACGCCGGCTGTATCCGGAGTGGAAGCGCGTCGGGGGCTCCTTTACCAGTCTGTGCACCCCTCCTCCATGACGGTGACTCACGGCGACGCAGGCAACATTGAACATGGAACGCTGACGGCAGCAGGCGACCCGGTTCTCGTGTCGTGGACCACGGGCAACTTCACCAACCTGGCCTGTATCGGCAGCGACGGCGGCCTGCGGCACCGGTACCAGCGGGAGCCGTACGGCACGTGGCACCCGGCCGGCGAGAGCTTCGAGCACCTCGGGGGCAAGCTGGCGGGAAACGTGGCGGCGGTGACGCGCGCCGAGGAGCACGTCGCCTTCTTCGCCCGGGGCCAGGACGGCAAGTGCCACAGCAAGTGGTACAGCGGCGGCTGGAGCGACTGGATGTCGCGCGGCGGCGACGTGCAGGGCGACATCGCGGCCGTGTCGTGGGGGCACGCCGGCACCCGGACGGACCTCTTCATGCGCGGCGCCGACAACGCCATCCACCACAAGTACTACGACGGCACGGCCTGGACCCCGGGCGTGGAGACGTGGACGAGCCTCGGCGGCAACACCACGGGCAGCCCCAAGGCCATCTGCTGGGGCGCCAAGCGCATCGACGTGTTCGCGCGCAGCGCCGCCGACAAGAGCGTGCTGTGGAAGGCGTGGGACGGCGACAAGTGGGTCCCCGAGGGCGCCGACTGGACCTCGCTCGGCGGCACGGCGCTGGAGGACGTGGCCGTGGTTTCGTCGAGAGCCAACCACCTGTACCTCTTCATCCGCGGCGCCGACAACACCGTCTACTCCAAGAGCTACCTGGACGGCAAGTGGGAGCCGAGCATCACCGAGTGGGGCCACCACGAGGAGGACTTTGCCAACGAAATCAGCTCCCCCATCTCGGCCCTGGCCTACAACGACTATTGGGACAAATTCATGTACAAGCGGATCATGCTGGCGGCGCTCAGCTCGAACAAAATGGTCAGGCTCAAGATGTTTGATGGCACAAAGTGGAGGAAGTGGTTTTATCTCGGGGACAAGGTCATGGCTGGCGCGCCCGTGCTGCACCCGTGGCGTGATAACACGCCCGTTGTCGTGGCCCGGGGGACCGACGGCGCACTCTGGAAGTGGGAGTAGCGCCGTGATTCCGTGACGGCGGCTGCGTGAGGGCGTGCGCCGTCGAGTAGTAAAATCGTGTGGCCTGGCCTACTATAGTTATTTGATGAATTGCTACAATTTCCTGCCCCTCTCGCCGCCTACAGGGTAGCCATATCCCGACAAGCGTAAAAACACAATTGGTCGATGCACATGCCAGACATCCAACAGCCCCACCATTGACATCTCCGTGACATTCAACCTCCGTCAGAATCCCATCTCCAACATTTCCATCTGCCAGCTCGCCCCCCCCTCAACGGCTGCATGTACACTGCGCGCTGAAATGCGCGAGTTCATGGACTATGTCCACAGCGCATTCTACGAGGCGACAGGCTGGCGCCGCGACAACTCGTACGCCGCGCTCAATGCCACGTCCGACGGTTCGCACCCCCTCCGCCGCCCCAAAAACCTCCTTGCTTCCCTCGTACCCGTGCGCTGACACCGCCGCCCAGCTCTGCTAGACTTCCAGACCCCGCGGGGCCTCCGGCTGACGCTGTCCTCCCTCGCGAGCGCCAACTTTGCCACCTCGTACCAGCTCGGCTCGGTCGGCGTCGTCGACGGCTCCATCTCGTACCTCTTCTCGTCGGTCCCCCTGCGCGTCCACATGACGCCGCGGTCCGAAGACGTCTCGCTCCCCGACCTGCTGCGCTCGTACCGCCCGCTCTCCCCGCTGCTCCCCCGGACGCCGTCGCCGCCGGACGCCGCGACCGCCGGGCCCGAGGCCTCCCTCCTCTACGGCAGGCTCTACCTCCCGCAGTCGCAGCTCGAGGCCCTCGCCGTCAGGAGGCTCTCCCCCGCGCTGCAGCTCCAGCTCAGCGCCGTGTCAGCCAAGCACCTCCGCGACGGGGGCACCGTCCTCGGCCTCGCGCAGTACGACGTCGGCCGCTACGCCTTTGAGGGCCTGGCCTCGTCCGACGGCGGGCTCCTCGGCCTGCGCGGCCTCTACAACTTTGGCGGCGGCGACGCGCACCCGCCTCCTGCTGGTGCCGAGGGCGAAAAGGAGCGCGTGTACGGGCGCTTTAGTACCGGCGCAGAGGTGTACTACGGCACTTTGAACAAGTCGGGCGGCGTGAGCTTCGGGACGCGCTTCGCCACACTGCCTGCGCACAGTGGCACTCCGCTGTCGGCGAGTTTGACTGTCAACCCGCTCATGGGTAACGTCGCTGCTAGCTATGCCGTTGTTGCTGGTAGGCACTGCAGCCTGGCGACGCGTATGGAGTTCAACGTGTTCAGCTACGAGAGCGCGTGGGCCGTGGGCATGGAGCTCTGGAGGAGGCCGCTGCGGCGGGTGGCCGGAGGGGGTGGCCGGCCCGGGGGGGAGTATAAGGAGAGGAGTTTTCGGGCCAAGATGGAGTGGCGGCTGGACGAGCCTGAACTTGTGCCGCCGCCGCAACCATCACCACCACTGTCGGAACCGGCGGAACCGGACCGGGTATTGGCGGTTCACAGGGGGAATGGGGGCGAGGAGTATGCGGGTGTGTTGAAGGCGAGGCTGGACCAGAATTGGAGGATTGGCATCTTGTGGGAGGGCAGGGTGAAGAGCCTGCTGTTTAGTTTGGGGAGTGGCATTGACCTGAGGAAACTGGATAAGCCGTTCAGGACGTTGGGGTTGGAGATTCAGTTCTCTTCGTGACGGGCTGTCTAGGGGACGGTACATGAGTGTATGAATAAGTGTCTAATTTCTGTATTCTATGTTGGCAGAGCATGCATCTATGATACCTCGAGTACATGTGTTCGCTTCACAAACCTAGCTAGTTTCGATCTGGTGATGCTGTGGTTTCTGAGGCCGTGTATACGTCTGTCGGGAATAATGCACCGCAACGCTTCCGCTGGTCGCGTTGTTGCGTTCATGCACGTAATTCCCCTTGGGGTTGGCAGGGTGGTGCCATTCATCAATACGATGTATGCGTAGTCGAGGAGATGGTGTCGACAGATCCACATGGATAAACTTGCGAGCCGTGCCACCTCGAGCTGTTCGGAGAGTTGCCTATAGTAGACAGAATTTTAACGTGTATACTCCGTAGAAGGGAAATCATCACCTCGGGGGGGCAGATTACAACGCCGTCGATTTCTGGTTCTCACAAGGAAACGCAACAAGTTCCATAGAGGTTCTGGAAGTTTCCTATGCGACATAATCATTTACTGTATTTACCTGGATGCAGTAAGTGGCATGCCAGGCCAATCACGGATCAGCGGCCAACTATTATGCAAAGGCGGTACGGAATACGGTTCCAGATGCATCCCAGCAAGACGAAGCTTGGTACATAGTACATGGAAGCTGCCACAATGCTTGTCATCTGCAATGCAACACAAATGTTTGTTCCCTGCGCTGGACGAACGTCGGACTTGGAGGGGCATTCTGCAGCGTTGGCTATGAGACTTTGGTTACGTGAATGTTGGTGATGTGATAGTTGCTAGTGTAAAGTGGTGCGATGCGGCGGATGCTAAGCGGAAATGGGAGCCGAGAGAACCTCAAGACGACCAAAGTACTTTTGACCAATTTCATACCAAGTTTGATAGTTCGCTGAGCCCTCGGAACTAGGTCAGTATAACAGGCCATATTAATCTGTGGCGAAAAGGCCCGAAGAATTTGGATTGCCGGTATAGAGGCTGACACCTCTACCCACCCCGAGGTTGCGCAGGCACCGCTGTTAATGCTGATGACGGACTCTCTTGATCTCTGAAGCCTGTTTCAAGGAAACCCCACTAGTAGCAGAATAATTATGTTGGGAGCCAACCCTTACATAGTGGACTCGAAACTCGTGGATAGCTATGGCTGCGTTGTAGGCACTGACTGACGTTGTTGGTTTTTCTCTTTGTTTAATTCAGCCGAGCCTACGGAATAAAGCTTCTGTCATTGGACCAGGTCATTTTAACCATGAGGTCGGGGTGTGTACATACTAGTTCTTTGCAGGCCAACACCTCGACACCCATGCAAAAGGATGCACGTACCATGTATGACAGGTCAAGATGGATGGTCCAACTGTCGGCGCTAGTGCCATAACCATAACCTAGCCTCGGTATCAGCATCCTATGAAGACAAAAAGCTCGTACGGCCGAAACGAGGCGCTTGCCTTATGATGACCGTCATAGCGGGCGATGGGTCCATTGTGAGAAATCGCTGTGATCCTCCGCCATTCCCCGCTCCCCAAACAAAAAAAAAGATCCGTCTTCGGTGGCATCATCATTGAAGTTTGTCGTTCGTTCCTGCTGCTGCGTTGTGTGACCATGCCGTGACAGCCGAGCATCTGGGTACAAATCTCTTAGTTCTCTTGGCGATCCATGCTGCCCTACCAAAATCCTGCTCCCAGAGCTTGAAATGGCGAGATGCAGACACCTGGCTGTTGTGGCAGTCCTCTGGAAGCCCCAGCCGTCAAGTCGTGACTCGTACCAACCCGGCACATCGATCATGGAGGGGCGTGGGGGCGGGAGCTGTGAACCTTGATGGTGCGCCCTTGCCGCTTCCGTGCCAGGGGCGTCCGGAGAGCCAGTGGCGCAACCAATCAGAGAGCCGACAATTGGCTGTATCGCGTGTGGCGCATGACTAAAACATAGTCTTTGATACCGATGGGAGAGCTGCATGATAGGTATGTATTCTTAGAAATTTCACAAACAATCAAAGGTAGGGCTTGTGAATTGTCTAGTATGCTGATACTGGTTTAAAAAGCAGACAGTCGCCGTCGTCGTCGCGCCGGGATAAAAAAGGCCAAGTCAGCAGAGTGTTGCATGACAAAAGAGTGAATCAAGAAACTCACCAGGATTTTTTTTTTCTTAAAAAGGCTAGTCGACCAATGCCAAGATTGCCATGAGACTACGAAGGACTCCTTCGGCAATGCTAGCTTGGTCCGGGATTTTACTAGTCAATAAAGGTGTCGTCGATCCGCGATTCAAGAAAGTGGAAGAGGTCAAGTCATGTAAATTAGGTCTGGTGGGTTTGGCCCAGGTGCCGGTTCAAACTCTGGAGCCCATCAAGGTTCTCACGACGCTGTCACATTTTGAATCCGACTTCCCACACCACTCTCGCATACGCCTACCCATCTTTGCCTCAGATCGGTTCGCCTTCCCTCATTCTGCCAGCCCGCATGCGGTCCAGCGCATGCCAGCATCATCCCAAACTGCGCACCGGCAGATTTCATCGGCCCAATCCCTCTCAGCAGCCCCGGTCCCTACGCAGCTACGCAATTATTCCGTATTACCTTTCCACACTTGCAGGCGGTGACAGGTCCTGCGCATGCTTCATCCCTAGTTGCACCGCTTGTCGCGCTCCTAGACATTGTATCATTCGACTTTTCGCAGTCTTCACTTCTTGCTGTGTTCCATCTTGGTACTTACCCGCAGCCCTGGTGTCAGCTGAACACGCCTTCGCCTTTGTTCATTCCCATTGGGCTGTCTCTGAGGCACGCCTGACACTGTGGTGTTTATCGTCGTCCTTTCGGCTGATCGCTGTCGCAGTCTGTTCGGTAGCAGTTTAGAAGCACAGGACAGCAAACCCACGTGCAGGAAACGCATAACCTTAGATAAAAAGGATAAAAGGGACCCTAAACCTTGCACTCCTTGGACTTCGCTCCCACCGCCAGCGGCCGCATGGGAATAGTCCCGTCTCCAAAGGCTCCTTCCTCTTCATAGCGGAGTATCGAACATCATAGCAAGAAGGGATCTCGACAAAGGGCTTTCTGCAACCTTTTGCCGATCTCCCCAACCACATTTTTGGCCAAGGTCATCATCTGGCTGTGTGTGTGGCGCATCAACTGGAACTGGGTGGACCATTTCGCTATTGAATCCGGTCCATCAAGGTGTTCGCCTCGTCGGTGTATCCTAGTCTCAAGCCCTGCTGAAAATCGGACCAGACACTAGCATTGGTCCGGACCAGACGACCGACGAACCGTGGAGACGGGTTATAAGTCTTCCATTTCTCGGGTCCCCTCCCCCGGAGAATAACTTTCAACTTAGAACCGAACCGAATCGAAAAGTTGTTGTCGTTGTTTCGTCGCGCCGAGGTATAATCGGGCGAAGTTGAAGAGAAGACTTGATTGTCTTGAAGCGAGTGGTGTGATTGAGAAGAAGAAAAGACCGCCCGAGTTTGCGGCTACGATAATCGTGGAAAACCAACGCTGGACTTATACCCTCGAATACACTCAACAGCAGCGCATCACCATGGCTGAAGAGGAGCAGCAGAGCAGTTGCGATGGCTCACCCGTTGACTTGGGCATGCTCGGTCTCCGCATTGCCTCCATTTTCATCATTCTCGTTGCTTCCCTCGTTGGAGCACTCACCCCCATCCTCTTGGCTCGCCAGACCAAGATGCACGTTCCGAAATTCACATTCTTCATCTGCAAGTACGTCGGTACCGGCGTCATCATTGGCACGGCATGGATGCATCTTTTGGATCCAGCAGTTGATCAGCTTGGAGACGCCTGCGTTCAGGAAAGATGGCTTGGCACATACCCTTGGGCTCTATGCATTGCTCTGATGACCATCATGGTCATGTTCTTCGTTGAGCTAATGGTAGCCCGTTTTGACGACGACGACGATGCCGCCCATAGCCATCCGACTGGCTCCGACTCTGGCTCCGACCTCAACGAGGTACTGGCGATTAAGAAATCCTCAAAGCCGCAAAAGGACAAGAATGTTCAGGCTGAGCCATGCCCCCATGACATCGAGAATCAAGGGGCTCTCTGTGGCCCCGATCCAACTGCCATCCCAGGACGCCCCGATGATGTCAGCTACCCTCCTGGCGGTGAGGATCATCTTGCGCACCGCCATGATCACAAAGAAGGGGACTCGCACACGTCGTTGTCCGGCCAGCTGACGGCAATCTTCATTCTCGAATTCGGTGTCGTGTTTCACAGTGTCTTTATCGGACTTACCCTCGGTACCACCGGGTCGGATGATTTGAAGGTTCTTCTCGTCGTCCTTGTTTTCCATCAAATGTTCGAGGGTCTTGGTTTAGGGTCCCGAATCGCTGTTGCCGAATGGCCTGAAAGTAAACAGTGGTTGCCATATGTCCTGGCTGTTGGGTTCGCTCTCTCCACTCCTGTAGGTGTTGCAGCTGGTGTTGGTGCTAAACCAGCAAACGCTGCCACTCAGAAACTTGTTAACGGCATTTTTGACTCCATTTCCGCTGGAATTCTCATGTACACAGGACTGGTCGAGCTTTTGGCTCACGAATTCATGTTCAACCCTCACATGCGCCGGGCTCCGCTGAAGATCCAGTTGTTTGCCTTTGGATGTATTGCCTTTGGTGTCACGGTGATGGCATTGTTGGCAAAGTGGGCTTAGATGTATCATGTCGGGCTCTCAAGAGCACGATATAATCGAGGGACGTGTTAATTGGAAGAGAGCATATTGGATATGAACGGGCACATGTTGGGTGCAATCTATACCCACCCTGAAAGAAATAATACCTTTGATAGAATCTGAATTTTAAGCGAACTGCACATTCTACCTCAACAGTTGGTTTTCATACATGTTGAAACATTTGTGAAGCAAAGAACACGTAGATCATGTATTCGCACATGGCACACTACGCTATGATATGTTGCAGCATCGTAATAGAATTGAAACTTCATATAACGAAGTGAATTAATCCCACACCGAAATTCAAACCACCATTAGGGCCAGTAATTAAAAAGATGCATCCTAGTAGTAGCCTGAGGAGTGAACCCGATTGTTGGTCCTCAGCTTGCACGTACTCACTGGACGTAGTTGCCGTGGACCCACCTGCACCGTGCGTGCGATGTTTTTGCAAATATAGACTGTCCGCACACACGGTGCTTAGTCACTCTGAGCGCCATGGCCCCACTAGGGCCGCAAGCCCTAGCCTCAATCGAAAAAGTTCACCCACCCAGACATGCACCTCCAAGAGCATTCGTAGACCTCACGCTTCGACAATCTCGTACCCGACGCAACTCCTCACAACCACCCGTCCACCCTCAACACCGTGAAAATGACTGGCGGTATTTCTGTGCGCGACGTTGATGTAGGTCCTCCCTGAACTCAATATCCCTTGATGCACCGAGAGCAGAACAAAGCACGTTGGTCCAATTTCAGGACTCTTCTCGAGATGCGTTAAGCGATGATATTACCTCCCCCATCAACAGTCCCTCGCGACTTCTGAGACCCGCAAACCCAAGACGAATAGACAACCTCTTGCGACCTCTGCTACAAACAATGTGGACTGCGCTGAGCTGTTTCGCCCCGCCGCAGATTGGATCTTCAATACTTGAAAAGCAATGTATTTGAGCCCGCTGCGGCGGCTGGACGGGTAGCCGTTCCGTTGGGACTAGTAGATTTCGAGGCTGAAAAGGAAGATTGGGAATTGAGGAGCAGGCGCGAGGGAGTCGCAAGACTTCTGAAGACGGAATATGCTAATGGGTTTCTTTGTCTCCAGGCGCAAAAGTTCATCAACGCCTATGCTGCGTTCTTGAAGCGTCAGGGCAAGCTGCCCATTCCCGGTATGTTTTTTGATCCAGCCCAAGAACAAGCCTGGCTTCTCTCAACGAGTCATTTCTAACGAGGGCCTTTTTTTTCATTCACTCAGGTTGGGTCGATACCGTCAAGACTGGTCCCGCCAAGGAGCTGCCCCCCCAGAACATTGACTGGTTCTACGTCCGCGCCGCCTCTGTCGCCCGCCACGTCTACCTCCGCAAGACTGTCGGAGTCGGCCGCCTTCGCAAGGTCCACGGCACCGCCAAGAACCGCGGCGCCCGCCCCTCCAAGCACATCGACGCCTCTGGCTCCGTCGACCGCAAGATCCTCCAGGCCCTCGAGAAGATTGGCGTCCTCGAGCAGGACGAGGAGAAGGGTGGCCGCCGCATCACACAGTCTGGCCAGCGTGATCTGGACCGTATCGCCCAGACCACTGCCGAGGCCGACGAGGAGGATGAGGATGAGGAGTAAATTGTAATAAAAAACACCAAATTACAATCCGCGCAGAAGTTTCAACGGAAACTGGTTTACACTGAACCAAGGCCTGAGGAGACAATTTTGGAAGCTTTTTGCTGAATAAAAAAGATGGTTGTGTCTCTTTTCCGGGAATGAGTGGCATGGCGTGGGCTTTGGGCGTCTTGGTCTTAGATTTACACGTATGAATGAGATTCCCCCGACTTTGGGTCATTCGGTTGATCAATTAGACCCGTCCACGTTATGAGTCTTCTCTCCGTAACTGATATGCTGTGACTGTTGTTGGATGTATGAGCCGGCTTCCTCGGCGGTTCGTTTTGAATCATGGCAACGTCTTTGCCGCTATTAGGCATCTCGCCCAACGTGTCATTTATTCGCAGCTGCTAAACAGTGGCAAGCGGCTGATTCTCTGCTCAACACCATGGAAGCCAGGTGTAGACATTACGCACAGCTGCATCTGTTATCACACCTACCACGTTACTATGACTTTTCGTCTTATATTTTCCCTTGGCAGCTGCGGCAGCTGCAAAAGGTCTTTCGCCCGCTTACCTAGGTAGCTGTATATATTCACACTTCTCACGACCTTCAAGATGCCTTGCTTTCTTCCTTTAGCTACCACCACTAGATCGGCCTTTAATTCGTCAACCTCGTCACTCCGGGCATCAATCTTGTTCCCCTTGTTTTGATTTCGTCATTTGTACCAGTGTATAGTACTTCCCAGTGTCGTTCTGGTTCGTGTCAGGTCCGCCCAACTTTGTCGTCATCTCCAAGAAAGCGCATCCATCGCCCACGCTGCGGCTCACCACACGCCGTTGCCCAACTCTATGCAAAAAACACATCACTGTAAAACAAGACACCGTATACTGCTCACAGCCCAACGCATCAGTCTCATCTCAAAAGACAATCTAGCCCATCTCGCCCGCTCCTCGCTCCCACCATCTCAGCAACACCAGAGACATCACCATGGCCACCGACCATGCTCCCCCTCCACCAGGCACGCCTCCAAGCGAAGTTCCCACGCCCGGGTTCGACAGAAAATTCGAATCCACCGAAGAAACATTCTACTTCTACCACGTCATCGACACTGAAAAGGCAACGTTGCAATGCCAGGTTCTCGGGCCCAACGTGTCCAACACCTTCTCCCACACCGGGGCAATAACGCACTACAAGGCGTCTGACATTGAATTCGCTCTCGCCCGCAAAACGGCGGGCTTCCTCGCGCTCCTCCAGCCGGGCACCAGCCCGTCCCGCACGATCCTCGCATGGGCGGAGAGCGGCCACGGGCACAACCCCCGCGGGGACTTCCTGGAGCCGAAATCCTCCGTCCTCTCAAACAGGCGCTGGACGGCGCGCGCCATGAGGCTCGCCAGGGAAATTGGCATCAACATGGGCCACCCGTACGACCGGCTCACCCTCGGCGGCAAGGTGGGCATGTTCCGCGCCTCCCACGTGGAGGTGAAGCTCGCCGTCCACGCCGTCTACATACTGCTCAAGATGGCCGCGATGCCTACGGATCGCGTGACCAAGGCGGATCTGAAGAGGCTGCGGGGGAGGGCGTGGTGCGGCGGCGCGAGGCCCCGGTTCGAGATTTACTTTTCCAAGAAGAACTGCCGCGCGTGCGCCCAGTACGTCCGGCGGCTGGAGGAACTGACAGGCGCGGAGATTACGCTCTGTTGGAAGGAGAGGCTGGTCAAGATTGAGTATCCCAAGAGCAAGATGGGGTCGGTGGAAGATGCCCAGAGGGAGGTCATACCCGTGGAGGGCTCGGAGAGCGAGGAACAGGCACAGGCACAGGAGCAGGAGGACGTGAATGAGATGCCGATGGTGGATCTTACGGACGACACGGACGATGTTGGGTCGCAGGAGGTGTCCGAGGTGGTTGAGGTGACGCCCGAGCCGTTGGGCGTATATGTGAACGGTCTCGCGTATTGCGTCGGCCAGATGGGGGACCGAGGCAGAGTCATGCGCGCGGTTGTAGGCCTGGCCAAGATCTGGAAGAGACAAACTGCCACGAGGGCAAGCATGCGACGACGGCCTCAAAACAGCGTCAGCGGCGGGGAGCCGACGACGGGGAGAAGGAGGGCTTGGCTTGCGACGCCGCCCGCCTCGAATGTACCGGTGCAAACGCAAGGCACGGCACGGGCTGGGTTGGAGAGCCGCGGTGCCGAGAATGAAGATGCAGTCGTCGGAGAAACATGGCCGCGACAGTATTCCTTCGTTTGCAGAGACAAGATGTCGCTAGGTAGATGATCAATACCGCGAAGTTGCTATTATACGCGCTCTCTAGAATGACCACGAACGAGAAAAGTTTGAAATCGGTGCCTGTTTTCATAACAGTGGCTCAACCCAAATTCCAATCACGACATCATTGCCAGCTCCCTCACCTCGTTCCTAAACTGCGCCCCCAAAGCGCTCACTACAACCCTCACATCCGGCGCCTGGACGCTGCCCCCTCCAACATTCCGTTCCAGCCTCTTGCCTCCGATGCCCGTCTTTCCCATTGTAGTAATGTGCTTGACGTCCTTGCCCCTTCTCATCGCACCCTTTTGTGTCGGAGGCGTAATGAGCGTCTCGTCAAGCAACGACTGCCATCGATCTAGATATACACCCGGACCATCGGTGGTTCCGCCCGAGGAATCGGCCGCCGTGACGAGGTATTGCATTCGTGCGTGGGAGATGGCGTTGACGGTGTCGAGATAGGCGGCGTGGGAATCGATTGCTTGAAGAACTTGGGACTGGGTATCCGGCTCGAGGGTTGTGAAGAGTTTCCCAAGTACGGAATGGATGTCCGATGATGGGTTTGGTGGCTTTCGAAACCGGACAATCATGTCATTTCCCCATATGCGCAGGCTCTCCCAGATATCAGGACATTGGCTCGCCACAGCGTGGATCCATTTGTATAGCAGTCGTCGATGCTTCATGAGGAGGTCGACATAGTCCTCTACACTGGCCAGTTTCTCCTCAGCCGAGCCGTGCGGCTTCTTTGGCCTGCTCGCCCTTATAAACTCCTCCAGAAATACTTGAAAAGCGTCAAAGTGTTCTCTCAAATCAACACGCGAATGTACAGTCCGGATCATGGGTTCATAGGCAGCGACAACATCCTTGATGGCCTGCGTAAACATGTCCGGAGGCTGGCGACAAATGGCCCCCGTGATGGAGTCTCTATCCCTGACGGACAAAAGTGCAGAATAATACTCTAGACACTGGGCATGCTGGGCCTCTGTCAACAGCCCATTCAGCGCTGGACTCCTCGCATTGAAAATGGCTGTGATGATCGACTGCGAGTTCTGGTGGCTCGCTTCCCTGACCGTATCGTGTTCCGACCTTGTGTCTTCGATGTGTTCCCTGATGGTGCGCAGCATTTCATCAGTCGGTCCGTCCTTGGCCTTTTCCACCTTTTCCGCACTCTTCTTGAACTCGCTCGCGTCCCAGGACAAGACTGCGGCCATAATACGCTGAAGTAGGTTCATGCCGTCGTCGGCGTTTTGCGTGAGACCGACCCAGTTGGTTACGCTGGTCACGCTGAGTTTGGCGAGGAGAATGCGAATCATGCCGCTTATCATGGTGGCTGCGTTGCCTATGCGCAGTGTTGATTTGAGGAGCGCGTAGGGGACGAGTGAATGCACGTTTTCGAGGAGTTTAAGGAGATATTGACCTTCAGGTGAGAGGATGAAGATTTGATGGACTAGGGTTGCGATGCTGGTGAATCTTGTTAGTATATATATGCACAGGAAGTGAGGCAACGGGGCAAAGAAGCGACGAACTGGAAAATGTTGTGGCGGGCAGAAGCTTCCACGGTTGGAGATAGGGTTTCTAAATCATCGTAATGGACAAAATGGTCAAACAACTGATTGACCAGGTCGCCATAGACCAATCCCTGAACAACATGACCCCAAGCACGCTCTAAATCATCCGCACTTGTGTGGTCATACTCGTCATCCTTCATACTTGACTCTTGTTTGTCGACGCCGCCTAGCATTCCGCGGCCCAGCATCTCAATAACCGCACTCGTCCCCGTAGCCAAGGTCTTTCGCGTCCCCATGGCGCCCTTGTCGTAACTCTCCGACAGGTCTGCTTCTCCTAATCTCGACATGATACCTTGTACGCGAACACTCCAGAAAGACCTGGGAATGTCGCTCACACCAGGCAGAGGGAGAACAATCCTCGTCAAGAGCAACTGTAGGATGGGCGATGTCGAAACAACATCCTGGTCGTCATCCCCGTCCAGGCTCTTGGTGCTGTTGGCGGGACTTTGCTTCCTGGCTTCTGATGAGGTAAACCATGATATAGGCGTCCTCGCGCGCGGCGTACTCGGGGCAGTGGCGAAAGGCGTAGTCAAAGCCTCGGAAGCTTTTTTGAACGGGAACCCATAGCTGGTGATGGCCGCGGATGTCTTGAAGCTTGATATTTCGGCATATGTCTCATAGTGAGTGAGAATATCGAAGAGAGCTCGCGTCTGCGTAGGTGACAGTCTAGTCGCAGACGCAGATGGAGTCGTCGCCGTCCCTGCCACCGTCGCTGTACCTGGATCTGTGGGCATTGTGAAATATGACGGCCCAAGGCGAGAGGAGGCCAGCTCCAGAGTCCAGACCCCAGCAGACAAAGGACAAAAGACGATGAGGGGCCACCAACCCAGGTGGCGATACTCGAGGCGCGAGGTATCTACCTACGTCGGTAACAAGTGATGACGGAGGGGTTTGAACCAAAACATCTACGTGGTTGATGAATGCAACTGAGTGTCCAGATCTTACAAGAACAGAAGCTGGACAACGTGTGGCGTCCCCAGGAACATGCATCTCACACACAAAGGCACATACATATGTAGACTGACGTCGTTGCAAGGAGCCCCACCACAACGTACTCCACACTGGCTAGGTCGCGAGAGCCTCACACAACGATACCTCGTCATATTAGTCATCAACACGTGTGCACAATCGATACTTAATTGTTGTAGTAGTAAGTTACTACCTTAACAGATTTACTTTATAAGAGACTCAAGGAAATTAAGACTAGTTCAAGTTTGCGTCGCGCAACATCCTTCACATCCACATTTTGCAGCCCAAGCAGAAAACGTCTGTTCTACTTCATTCCAAAGCCTTGGTATCACAATCACACTGTGAGGGAGCATCCTCCTGACTCAATGGGTATAGCATCTGTGTTTCCCCGCCTTCCTCATCATAATTCTTCATGAATAGTATCGACTCATCGGCACATCCCTAACGGCCCCCAATGGTCTGGTTAACGTTGCCGGCATTGACCTCCAACGGCGCCGCGAGTGGGGTAGACGACAGAGGCGCCTTGCCGTTGACAATGTTCGCATTAGCGTTGGGGTGAACGTTGGTGCTGCCGTTGGTGTGGCCATTCGTCCGTCCGCTGGTCGCCGGTCGAGCCTTGTTTTCGATTTTGGGAGCAGGAGGAATATCAGTGCTCCTCTTGGCGCTGCCAATGGAAAAGACGGGGCTCTCCCACTTGTCTCCTTTTCGTGAAAGTTCCTTGTACTCGGTTGCCTTGGAACTGACACCACCAGCCATCTTGACCTCGGGGAAGATGCTGTCCTCCAGCGTCATGGCAATGTTGACCTTCTTGTCTGATGCGACCTCCTTGGTTTTCTCCTTGCCCTCCAAATAGCGCTTCTGCGCCGCATCATAGTAACGTTTGAAGAAGTTGGCCTTGTCCTCAACATCACCAGCACCGGCTGCGTCGGCATCCTTCTTGATCTGCCAGAGGAGGGAGTCGAACTTGTTACACTCGTCCTTGATGGCCTTCTCCAGAGCCTTCTGAATAGGAGCGCGGAGGACTTTCAGAGCGAGGGGCTTAACAATCGCAAACAGGAGCTTGTGGTTGGACTTCTTGACCTTGATTTTGAGATTCTTGAAATCAACATCCACCTTTTCAACCTTGAAAATGTTCTGACTGTCGGATTTATGAGCCGTGGCAACCTTCATCCTGAACGACAGGCCATTCCCAGGCAACAAGATGTCAAGAACACCCGTGTCAGACAAAGATGGAAAGCCCTTCTTTCGATTAACATGGAAGTTGACGTCGCGGAGATCCATCTGGATGCCCGAAATTTTAACGTCAATCACGTTGTGATGCTTGTTGGCAACCTTCTTGCGGCCCCAACGGAAGAAGTTCTCGCTCGATACCTCGGCAATATTAGGCATAAAATTGTCACTCTCAAGAACCAAGTTTTCGATTATGGCATCAACTTGCGAATCCGAGTACTCAATGCGAGGGATTGGGATATAGTTAATGTTCATCAGAACGGCGGGGAGGATAGTATCCGCCAAGTCCTTGACAAGGTGTGGCTTAAAGACAGACTTGCCCGCGGAATCGTTTCCGAGGTGATTGAATAGTTTCTGCACAGCCTCGCCAAAAGCCTTGTTCTGGGAGTCTTGGTCGAACTGGTCGGCAATGAACTTGGTCTCGTCGATGACACGGTCAGTGTGGCTACGGTACTTCTCACGGAGCAAGAACCTGCCCTTCTCATAGAGGCGGTTCCACTGCTTGTTAGAAGATTCGTCGAGAATGTAGCCTTGCTCCAGCAGGCACCGGCGAATAAAGTTGTCCAGGCTCTTGAACCAGTCTTTAAGCTCAGCATCCTTGTCCGCATCCTTGTAAATCTGGCCGATGGACTCCCAAAGATTCGAAGTAGACGTTCCATTGGCAAATCGCTCAATCAATGTACGCAGATCGGCCTCGGCAGCTGCGAATCCAGAGCGAGCCTGCTTAGCAGAGCCGGTAGATTCCTTGCCCAAGCCGCGTCCATGGCTTCCATAGGTCTCGGCTAGACGGAGGAGAGTCTGAATGGCCTTGGAGTATTCGGGATGCTGCTGGCACTCAAGCACCATCTTCTTGAGGCGGAAGATTATTTGGTCCTTGCGCTCCTCCGGCATCTTCTTGTTGAAGTACTCCTTGGTTCTTCGACGATATTCCTCTTTGCTCTTCTTGATCTTCTCCTTGGTCTCCGGGTCTATCTTCTCATCAACCTTCTGCTGCACAGCACTCTGTGCAGCAACAGTGTCAACTCTGTCAGAATTTACTCCCTGGGGCAGTGCAGCATTAGTTGTGGAATTAGCAATGTCCTGCGCGTCTTTCTTTGGACTGCCGCCATAGAAGCCCTTGGCTTGCTTTCTAAGGTTCTCTTTCGAGAAGTCGGGTTTGTCGTGCCAAGTATTATCTTCGGCGGCCCGGTCCATTTGTCCGAGTTGCTCCTCCGACGGGCGGATGCGACCAGCAGCGCTAGTAGCGGCGTCGCCAGCCAAGTCGCGGAAGAGGATAGTGGTATCCTTGACTGTTTATCGGTTAGCTTGAGGTTTAAGGCTCGAGGATTGTAGAGCCAACATACGTAGCTTGCGGAATTGGCCATTGGTAATGAGCAGAGTTCCCAGGGTTCGGAGACCCTCGAGAGCCTCATCACCATCACGCTTGGCCTGGTCCTTATTCACCGGCGCATTCGGACCCTGGACAGACTTGGGATCAAACTGAGTGGTTTGCCAGATAAAATCCTGAATTAAATTGCCCTCGTTCTTGGAGAGCAGGAGGTTCTTGGCTAGTCGGACCACCTCTCTGGTGTCCGCGACAAGAATCTTGCCATCCTCGGAAAGATTCTCTGGGGGGGTACCGAGTGCTTTGGAGGCGAGGAAGCTGTTCAAGGCAACATCAATTTGGTCGTTCTAAGGCCCGTATTAGTTTGTGTAGCCAAAGTTTTTGATTTGGCGCGTATTCTCGTTCGTATAACCTACAGAGGGGACTTTGCCTTGCTTGAAAGCACTGAAAATGCCGTAGATTTGAAGTTTTCGGTTGATATCCGCCTCCTTCTGCTTGATATCCGTAGGCTTGTTGACGTTGGCAGTCATTTTGGATCGTTTATTTGTGATTAATACTGGTATTTCGAAAGTTTGTGGGTATCTCTGGATATCGGGTGCAGGCTCTTAACGCCTAGGGGAGGTCGAGGTTTGTATCTTTTGTTACAAAAAGCAAGGGTATAGACAGAGACCTCAATTCGTCCCGGGGTATCACAAGATCAGCTTGTTCGTTGCAGTGGGTATATTGGGAGGGTGTAGATTAAGGGATGGGAATTATAGTTTGGATGGGAAGAGAAATCAGAGTCGAGACAGATTCATACCACGCGTAGGGGGTATGGAAGAGCTTATAAGCAGGAGCGATAGGGGACGGACCACAGGATTTGGGAACCACCTGCTCTTCCAGCCCGAGCGCCATGAAATCTGGAGGGATTCCGTCATGTTGGGCTCAGTGCATAACTGGGCCGGCGTTTGCCAGAACCTTGATTAAGCAGGGAGTGTGGGTGACGTTAAGAGAAGCAAACGAGTACGTCATCGACGATGCAACACCAACGACATGGATCGAAGCTCCGTAGCCAGGGGCAGGTTTGCAGTGCCATTACTAGGGATGGGCGACACTGGGTGAGTTGTGCCGTCAGCCTGTTTGCCCGCGTCCATACGATTTCGGCAGCTGGGCAGCGCCACAATGTCTCCTACCATGTCTTGTTCTGAACCGCTCAGTGGCGCCTGAATTTAGCCGTATCTGTAACTTGTCCAAAACTACTCCGTACGGAGCAAGTATCTTACAACACAGACGAATTAGGTCGAGTCGCAGGTCGAGTCGAGACGTTCCATTGGCAAGGACGAGAAATTGGGATGAGGAGGGGTGTGGGTGGAGATCGTGATCTGCGACAGCCGTCGATGGGCCACCAGCAGCCGATGCAAATGTACCCTGGCGAGCTGATTTGACCCTGTGCGGCGTGCGGCGTGCCTTAGTAGTACTTGCAATGGCACAACAAGGTTATTGCATGTCGTCCAGGTCGTCAAGCACAGAGCAATAGTGATGCGTGCTAACGAGGCGGATTGGGATGGGGAGGGTTTGAATTTTTGCTCGCGTGTGCTTGTGCATGTTTATCGTAGTAACCGGGAAGGAGCCTGGGATGCACCTTCCCCCCCTTTCGGCAAGACAAGGCAAAACAAGATGCTTCCAACGTTCATCAGCATTGAGCTCTCGGTTTCACGTCTGGACTGGCAACACTACGACGTCGATACTATGCTCGGTTTCTGTCCGTATGTACACATGTATGCTTCGCCAAGTTACAGGGCGAATGCATACCTAGGTATTTATGGCGATACCCCGGCAACAACAACATCCCTTCGGTCTCGGTTGTTGCAATAGGCCAGTTGTTAATGACACGACAAGCAAGACCCACGACGTCCTTTGCTGTCGACCTGATGCTGTTGCTTGGCGGCTTGAGCGTTCCATTGTACACGACAGAAACACTTTTATTATTTCACAAATACGGTGGTATCCAGCTTTTGACCCCTTAGGATACGTCTCTTGTGCACCGTATCTCGGCATACGGCCGTTACGGTGCGTCGCCGCGCATTGCTCTCAACCAAGAAGTGTTGCCATCGATTTCCCGCGCGACGACAAGATGTTCCCCATCCTTGCGCCTCACACCAAGCAAGCTGGAGGTCAGATCGAGCTGGAACGACCCATTATGCGCCCCAATTGCGGGTCATTACCGCCTGCTTTCCCGCTCGTCGTAGTGGAACTGAGGGGGCCAGCGCCAAAATTCACAATATTGAATGCAAACATGTGCTCTTTGTTTGGATAGCTGTTGATACTGCTGGGCTGATACGGAACCAACACAGCTTCAGCGCGCAAATGAACCGCGAGCCACAAGCCTCGATACGACTGACAAGTAGAGACAGTATCGATGCAGTGGGCACACACGAGCGAACCTCGGAGCGTCGCAACGCTATATCAATACTTGCCTCTACCGGTCGATCAGTCGCTGCCCGAAATAAACGCCAGCGCTCTTTGGTGGCCAGCCGCGATTGACTTGGTACTGTATGTACATACATACGGAGAAACCCCGTTGCATCTCAGATACACCAAGCGCAACAATCCATGACGTCAAGGTGCGAATGAAGCCTAGCTCACCCTAGCAAAGCTGGAATATGGCCCGGCAAGCGCAATTAGTGGTGCGATGTTCCCTGGCTGTGGGTCGAGTGGCCTCGACTAGACCTGGGTAGAAAATTGAAGGGCAGTGTTCGCCAAGCTTCGTTAGTCCCGTCCAGCAAATTACTCGGCAAGTCTGAAAACAGCACAGTCATCAGTCAATCTCCTGAAATGGATGGCTACGGCCGGTTGTATCATCTCCAACACCCCCGGAGACTTGAGATGGTCGCGTGCATCAATGCTTTAGGTTTCATCCACTTGTCCATTCACACCCTGGTGAGGATTGGGTGCTTCACCTCACCAGACAGCACTTTGTTTGCGATGAGAGGCTGTCCATCTTAACAATGGTGCTAGCTCTGGTTCTACAATGCTGATATCCTTTGGAATACTAGCGCCACAAGGAGCAGCTTTCCAAGGTTTTCAGACACCTAGCCTTATAATAACGTATAGTCAATCACAGACGAGGTGATGGGAACACAATACACGCTTCGCACACCACGGATCTGAAAGCTGCGCCATCAATGGCATCATTTTGCCATCATCCTACATACCTAGGTACTAGGTATGCAGCCACGGCTTAACACTGTGGCGTGTACGGAGCACATATGGACCATTTCATCCGTTTAGACGCAGCAGTCTCCGATTGAGCTTGGAGGCGCACAGAGACTGAGTTGTGTAGTGTGCGACTCTTGTCGCGTGTAACAGCGGCCAAGACGCATGAGAGGTTGTTGATGATAAAGGACTGTACACTTGGTTCAGAGTGACCAGTCTAGCTACATGCTGGCATGCTCAAGCACATACAGCTACACATTGTACATCAGCTAGACTACCTACTAAGTAGGTATCCAAGGCCAGGCTTAACAACACCAGGCACCATTCGCATCAACTTTCTTAGCCATGTGCACCTGGCATAGTTACCACCACTGCCCAGTCTATCATAACCCTGTACCGTCCACGTTTTCATGACCAAGCTGTCTTACACGTGCCTTGGCATTTCGGACCCGAATCTGCTATAGGGTAAGTATCGCCAAAAACTGGCGGTCCGTACTTCTATATTGGCTCTGAGGCCGGGCCAGGAGCTTCATTTGTTCATTTTGTGTCTTTATCAGTCCATCATGCGTAGCTGGGCTACCATTACCACGGCGATTAAACGACAACTTGTGAAAGTAGGCGAGCAAGTCAACGAACCAAGACGCATAATATGTGTAGTAGGCCCTCATACAAACTATAAAGGACATCTGTACTACACACCGTACACATTATATTCGCGGGCTTGCCAGCTGCGCGTTTCATAAGTCGTATCAATTCATAGTCTGCCAACGCCATCTAAATGTATTCCTTATAGCATCAAAGCATCACCACTAAGCCTGGCATGCGGTATAACATCATGCGTTCCTGGCACCCAACTCATTAAACACCTTGGCCTTGATCTCGGCCGCCATCAGACCCGATCTCTCCTTCGTCGCAATCAAGCTTGTATCCTGGGTCAGCTTCTCGATAGTCTTGTCCTTGACAGCCGGGCCACCACCGCCCATTCCCTGACCTCGGCTCCGCGCCATGCTTGTCGTGACTTCTTTGATCTTGGAGCTCAGGTCGAGCATTTGCTTGCTCCCAAAGTCGCGGTTCGTCAGCAGCGGGCTCTGGCTGAGCGTCTGCACCCAGTACTTGTGCCAGAGGAGCTCGAGCAGGTGGGCGTCGAGGGTGCTTTTGAAGTGCGACACCTCGAGGCTGTAATACCGGCTGGCGTGGGCACCAAACTCGGCGGCCTTGGCCAGAGGGACGGTCTGTAAGCCGTCGGCCACGGCAGCCCCGGCGCCCTCGGGCTTGTGCGAGTGCGGGTATGTTCTGAAGGCGCCAATGTCGACTTTGCCGGCGTTGATGGTGCGGTCGGGGTCGATGACGACGGCGAGGAAGGGGTCCTGGAACTGCTGCTGCATTGCCTCGGTCGCGACGTCGATGCCGCTGAGCCAGCATCCGTACCCGGGGTGGGAGTGGTACCACCCGACCACGTTCTCCTGTCTCCCCTGGGCGCGGCACAGGTCGAGGTATTCCACGAGGTACTCGTTTGCTTCTTCCTGTACGTTGACTCTGGTCTCGGTTCCTTCGACGGGCAGCCGGAAGGCGTCGGTGACGACAAAGGTGTCGCCGTCGACGTAGCCCTGCATGAGGCCCATGACCTCGAGGTTACCGCCGGACCGGGCGTGCATCGTCATCTTTATGAGGGCGACAGCGCTGATGCGGACGCGCTTGAAGTGGTTGGGGTCGCGGGCCCATGGTTTCTCCTGGTTTATGGATTTCTGGCCTTGGGCGTCGTAGTTGTACAGGGCGTCGCGTTTGGGGTCGACCAATTCGATGTTGTTGTCGAGCTCTGTGATGGGTCAGCTGGGTGAGTTTTGCGGCATCAATGACGAGACACACACCCCATGATTTCAGAGCCGTCTCCATCTTGGCCGCAGTTACGCTGCCGTCCTGACTCCTGACAGCTTGGTGTGATGTAGGTTGGAGAGGGACCGCGTGAGTGTTTGTCCATGCAGGAGCTCGAGGCCCTGCTGCCCCGCACTGGCATCAAATTGGTGGTTATCGATAACCGACAGCTTCAGCAGAGGCGAATATCCTGCACATGTGGCAATCAAATCGAATGACTCCGTGTCGAAGAGCTCCGAGCAGAAAACACCTGAATAAATAGAAAAATAATAACTTTCTGAGGACGATAACTACGCATTGTCTTAACGATGGTGAGTGCTAGTATTGGCACATCCTCATACTAATCTTTTTCATGATGCTCCAGATCAGGGAGCATAACTGACTCCTACACATTGCGCTCTTGCGAACTAGCACCTAAATATCTTCCTACCGGACCTAAGTAGGTAAGTAAGCTTGGACCATC